AAGGAAGAAGAAAGAGGATCAAAGGAGAGAAAGGGTCAGTAGAAAGAAATCCAGGTGCGCCAAACGAAAAAAAAATGCGAAACACGGTGTTTTTCCAATGTTTTGGGGCTCCGGAGGGTCGAAAGTAGGCTCGCTAAAGTGGCGGGCGCGGCACCATATGGTGGGATGAGAGATCAAACCTTGCACGCCGCTGTGGCGCGAAGCACATTTGGAAGTCAAAATGCTCAAAACGCCTCATTCTCGGACTAAGTTTGGAAGTTGAGATGTTCAAAAAGTGCACGCCGTTGTGGCCGGAAGCAAAATTTCCAAGTCAAAATACTAAAAACATGTCATTGTCGGAGCACTTCTGGAAGTTGAGATGAGATGCTCAAAAGTGTACACGGCTGTGGTGCGAAGCACATGCCGAAGTCAAATGTCAAAAGCACCTCAGCCTCAGACCGCTTTTGGAAGTTGAGATGTGGAAAAGGTGTGCGCCGCTGTGGCGCGAAGCAAATTTCGAAGTCAATATATTAAAAACATTTCAGCCTCGGAGCACTTTTGGAAATTGAGATGTTCAAAAAGTGCACGCTGTTGGCGGCGCGGAGCAAATTTGGAAGTCCAAAGTGTCAGAAACTGATGGTCTCGGACCAGTTTTCGAAGTTTGGGTGTGGTTTTGCGTGGCAGGCGCGATGGATTCTGCACCTTGTCAAAAGTGACACAAACGTGAAGGTTTCGTAGCAATTGCAAAATTGATAGATAGATAGATAGATAGATGGATAGGATAGGATAGGATAGGATAGGATCGGATGGGATGGGATGGGATGGGATGGGATAGGATAGGATAGGATAGATAGATAGATGGATAGATAGATAGATAGATGGATAGATAGATAGATAGATGGATGGATAGATAGATAGATAGGTAGATAGATAGATAAATAGATAGATCGACAAGTAGATGATATAATAGGCATTACCCAGATTTGTGCCATTGGAACATCCATGCCAAGGCACACTGGATCTCCACCATGGTCATAGATTTCCATTCTTCGGGCGATCTAAAAGTTCCCTTCACGCCGGGACCACAGGCCTTCCAGTTTTTTTTTGTGGCCCAATGGGATTCAATGCATGTAAGCCGTTTCTTTATCTTGCTGGCTATTGCACTTTGTTTGCTGCTTTTGTTTTTACATTGTTCGCTCTATTCGTGCAGATTTACAATCTGAATTGTCAAAGTGGATCTTTCCCAAAATGATGGCAACATTGTAATAAATAAAAAGGTGTTGGATGTCTTCCCTTAAAAAAATCCTTGTCATTCATTACCATAACATACAAATCATTGCCATGATTCTAACATCCGTCCATGTCGAATTGGAAAGGGCATTGGGTGTCCTCAGATTTGGCGGCGCTGGCGAACGAACTACGTCTTGGCTGACTGTATTTACAGACCAGCCGCTGACATGATCCAAAATTCACATGACCAGTGCGTGCCCTCTTGAATGTGCGGGACCCAGTTGCATTCAGTGGGTAAAATTGGGTTAAAAACATATGTGAAATAACTCATATAGACATTGACATATATAAGGTTTAACCCGCTTCTATACGAGACATTCCCAGGTAGTCGCATGGATTCGCATGGACTATCCGTATGCAGTAACCATTTACATCCATTTACATCCATGCGTCCCGCACCCCCCAGGATTTCAAATCCGTGAATCGGAAAAACTGGAATGCCTAGGTTTGTCAAAGGCACGAGATCCATTCTCTCCTGGATTTGTCATTTATTTGTTTGTATTTGTCGCTTTTAACATACATGTTGAGGCAAACAATCTAATTTTGCTTTGGAAACATACGGATAATTTAGTAAATTTGGGTACTGTTGTATACTAGCTTCCATCTTTAATAACTGGGTTTTTCATGGGTTTTTCATGGCGCATCCAGAATTCTGGGAGGAGACCGGGAGACTGTTTGGATTCCAACGGAGTCATGGGGATTGGGAATCGCGCGCTACGAGTACTGGGGCTAACTAACGCAACCCACCTCGACCATCCAAATCCTAGGAAAATTGAAATGTTTTCGGAGTTTGACCTATATCGACTGATTTTACCCAAAACACCTAGATACTACTTTGGTCTTCAATTTTAGGACTTTGATTGCATGTTTTTGGGTTTGGTGAGGCAAAGGCCAAAAAATGGTTGCAGCGCCTCAAACGACTAAGGAAAAACCCGCAAAACCTCGCAAAAAAAACCCGCAAAAACCCGCAAATCCTGAAATCTCGTTGTTTTAGGTAGTTTTCGGATTTTTGTAGAGTTCCAAAATTCCTTATGTTTTGTGTACGGGGGCGTAGTGCTGAGATTTTCCCAGAAACATACATGTTTGGAACAAAGTGAATCATTTTTTCCCCACCTGCCAGGTGGGTTGTTCCCCACCTGCCAGGTGAGGGTTGTTAGATTTTATCAGAGTTGTTCTTCTCCTCCTCGGCTAGCTGTCCTCCTTCTCCTCCTCCTTCTCCTCCTCCTCCGCCTCCTCCTCTAGTTTCTCCTCGACCATGTCTGCATCAACTTCCACCTCCACTTCCGCCTTGCCAACTCTTCCCCAAGCTCTTTGCCAACTCTCTTCGCCAAGCTCTTTGCCAACTTCCCAGCTCAGTGTGCACCGCAGGACCTCAACCTGGGACCTTCCCAGCTCAGTGTGCACCGCTGGACCTCAACCTGGGACCTTACCAGCTCAGTGTGCACTGCTGGACCTCAACCTGGGACCTTCCCAGCTCAGTGTTCACCGCTGGACCTCAACCTGGGACCTTCCCAGCTCAGCGGACCGCTGGACCTCAACCTGGGACCTGCCCAGCTCAGTGTGCACCGCTGGACCTCAACGGCCAGATAGAATGCCAGAAGATATGCCAGATAGAATGTGAGATAGAATGCCAGAAGATATGCCAGATAAAATGCCATAAGATATGCCAGATAGAATGCCAGAAGATATACCAGATAGAATGCCAGAAGATATGCCAGATAGAATGCCAGAAGGTATGCCAGGTAGAATGCCAGATAAAATGTCAGATAGAATGCCAGAAGATATGCTAGATAGAATGCCAGAAGATATGTCAGAATATATGCCAGAACATGTGCCAGAAGATATGCCAGATAGAATGCCAAATAGAATGCCAGAAGATATGTCAGAATATATTTCGGAACATATGCCAGAAGATATGCCAGATAGAATGCCAGATAGAATGCCAGAAGATATGTCAGAATATATGCCAGAAGATATGCCAGATAGAATGCCAGAAGATATTTCAGATAGAATGCCAGAAGATATGCCAGATAGAATGCCAGAAGATTTGCCAGGTAGAATGCCAGAAGATATGCCAGAAGATATGCTACAACATATGCCAGAACATATGCCAGAATATATGCCAGATAGAATGCCAGAAGATATGTCAGATAAAATGCCAGAATATTTGCCAGTAAGAAAATCTATAAATGTCATGGTGGGGATCACACGAAGTAAAGTAATTAGATTTTATCAGAGTTCTTCTCCTCCTCCTCCTCCTTCCTCCTCCTCCTCCTTCTCCTCCTCCGCGTCCTCCTCCTCTTCTACCACCTCTGCCTCCACTTCCACGTCCACTGTTGCCTTGCCAACTCTTGGCCAAGCTGTTCGCCAACTTCGGAGCTCAGTGCGCACTGCTGGACCTCAACCTGGGACCTTCCCAGCTCAGTGCGCACCGCTGGACCTAAACCTGGGACTTTCCAAGCTCAGTGCGCACCGCTGGACCTCAACCTGGGACCTGCCGAGCTCAGTGCGCACCGATGGACCTCAACCTGGGGCCTTCCGAGCTCAGTGCGCACCGCTGGACCTCAAAAGCCAGATAGAATACCAGAAGAAGGGCCAGATAGATTTTTCAGATAGAATCTCAGAAGATATGACAGAAGATATGCCAGATAGAGTGCCAGAAGATATGCCAGAACATATGCCAGAAGCTATGCCAGGTAGAATGCCAGAAGATATGCCAGATAGAATGCCAGAAGATATGCCAGATAAAATGCCAGAAGATATGCCAGATAGAATGCCAGATAGAATGTCAGAAGATATGCCAGATAAAGTGCCAGAATGTTTGCCAGAACATGTGCCAGAAGATATGCCAGATAGAACGCCAGATAGAATGTCAGAAAGAATGCCAGAAGATATGCCAGATAAAGTGCCAGAATGTTTGCCAGATAGAATGCCAGAAGATATGCCAGATAGATTGCCAGAAGGTATGCAAGATAGAATGTCAGATAGAATGCCTGAAGGTATGCCAGATGAAGTGCCAGAATGTTTGCCAGAACATATGCCAGAATATTTGCCAGATAGAATGTCAGAAGATATGCCAGAAGATATGCCAGATAGAGTGCCAGAAAATATGCCAGAACATATTGCAGAAGATATGCCAGGTAGAATGCCAGAAGATATGCCAAATAGAATGCCAGAAGATATGCCAGATAAAATGCCAGAAGATATGCCAGATAGAATGCCAGAAGATTTGCCAGTAACGAGTATAGATGTCATGGTGGGGATAACTCGAAGTAAAGTAATTGGGTTGTTTGACTTATCTTCTTAGAACGACCATTTTTTCCTCGGAAGTGGAGGGTCGAGGCATATATAATTTTCCGCCATTTGGCACACCGCTGACCTCACAATCTGTATATAAAACCATGTTCTTGCTGATAAAATCACCCTGGGCAGACAGCTTAAAAGGAGTCCCTTTTGCTATCCAAAACTGGTAGAACAACATTCGCCGGTTTGCTGACCAAAAGACATGCCGGTCCGAAACTGATATCTCAAAAAACATGCCGGTCTAAAATTGTTTGTTTCAACTGCCCCTCTTACCAGTTTTTGTTTTACATGTACAAAAGGGCTTTTACATGTAAATAACATCTGGTCAATTATATATAGCCCCATTCATAGAATGATAACCTCAGTCCAACTGGTAAAGGGTTTTAACTGCACCCAAATCCCCCCGTCGTCGACAACCACCACCGTTTCGCGCAGAGCGAAGCGAGTTTCAGCTCAGGCCCATTGCCTGAGTCTCAGCAAGCCTCTGTTGGAAGAATAGTGCATGGAGTGTGTCCCCACAAATGGAAAACGGGATTTACCACTTATAGGACCCTGAAAAAGATGCCGATCATATGTGATCAGCATGCCATTGTGATGGCAAAAAGAAGATATGTAAAAAGAAGATATGTAACCAAAACATGGCCATTATATATATATATATAACCTGGCAAGAACATGGATTATGAAAAATTAAGTTCGTAACAGTAGGTTTTATCACCATTTAAAGCACTGACAATGGCGGACACAAGATGCGTCGGTGAGGAAAATCCCCGCGTGGTGCAGGAACTAGTTTGTGTCAGATTAGTGTTGCATTGGCATCCATATTGGGAATGCATAACACACGCAAAACGGACGCCAAAAATAATATCAGTGCCTTCAGAAACAAATAACAACATATAAAGCATACTCTACATCGAGTGATCTCCACCCTGACACACTATTCCGACATTCTATCTGACATTTTCTTTGGCGTTCTGTGGCATTTTATCTGGCATTTGTTCTGACGTACTTGCTGGCATATATTCTGACATTATTTCTGGCACCTATTCTGACATTCTACCTGGCACATTTTCAGGCATTCATTCCGGCATTCTTTCTGGCATCTATTCTGACATGATTTCTAGTGTATATTCTGACATTCTCTCTGGCATTCTATCAGGCATCTCTTCTGGCATTCTTTCTGGCATCTATTTTGGCATTCTATCTGGCATTCTATCTGAGATTTATTCTGACATTCTGTTCGGCACTAAATCTGGCAATCTATCTATATTCTAACATTCTGTCTGGCATTCTATCTGGCATGCTGTCTGGCATTCTACCTGGCATTCTGTCGGGCATTCTCTCTGGCATTTTCTCTGGCATGTGTTTGGGTCCAGGTGGGTTCGGGCCCACACGTACACACCTCGCAACTGCAGGTTCGGGGTGCCCAGCTGCATCCAGAGCCGGCCATATGGTTGGGAAAGACAAAGCTGACATCAGGCGGATGAGGGCTAAGAAGGAGCAGGAGTAGGCGCAGGAGGAAGAGGAGAGGATGAAGGGAGAAGAAGAAGGAGGAGTTGCACCTTTGTTAAAATCTAGAGACCCTCACCTGGCAGGTGGGGAATGAATTCTTGATGCCCATAAGAGGCCATCAAAGGTTGTTCCCCACCTGCCAGGTGAGGGTTGTTAGATTTTATTAGAGTTGTTCTTCTCCTTCTTCTCCTCCTCCTCCTTCTCCTCCACCACCTCTGCCTCCACTTCCATGTTCACTTCCGCCTTGCCAACTCTTCGCCAAGCTCTTCGCCAACTTCCGCACGCAGTGGGCACTGCTGGACCTCAACTGCAAGGGTGTGAGCGCACTGGGCACCGCTGGACCTCAACCTGGGACCTTCCAAGCTCAGTGAGCACCGCTGGACCTCAACCTGGGACCGTCCGAGCTCAGTGAGCACCGCTGGACCTCAACCTGGGACCCTCCGAGCTCAGTGAGCACCGCTGGACCTCAACCTGGGACCCTGAGCTCAGTGAGCACCGCTGGACCTCAACGGCCAGATAGAATGCCAGAAGATATGCCAGATAGAACGCCAGATAGAATGTCAGAAAGAATGCCAGAAGATATGCCAGATAAAGTGCCACAATGTTTGCCAGATAGAATGCCAGAAGATATGCCAGATAGATTGCCAGAAGGTATGCCAGATAGAATGTCAGATAGAATGCCAGAAGGTATGCCAGATAAAGTGCCAGAATGTTTGCCAGATAGAGCGCCAGAAGATTTGCCAGATAGAATGCCAGATAAAATGTCAGAAGATATGCCAGAAGATATGCCAGATAGAGTGCCAGAAGATATGCCAGAAACTATGCCAGGTAGAATGCCAGAAGATATGCCAGATAGAATGCCAGAAGATATGCCAGATAAAATGCCAGAAGATATGCCAGATAGAATGCCAGATAGAATGTCAGAAGATATGCCAGAAGGTATGCCAGATAAAGTGCAAGAATGTTTTCCAGAACACATGCCAGAAGATTTGCCAGATAGAATGCCAGATAGAATGTCAGATAGATTGTCAGAAGATATGCCAGATAGAGTGCCAGAAGATATGCCAGAACATATTGCAGAAGATATGAGGGGTAGAATGCCAGAAGATATGCCAGATAGAATGCCAGAAGATATGCCAGATAAAATGCCAGAAGATATGTCAGATAGAATGCCAGAAGATTTGCCAGTAACAAATCGTATAGATGTCATGGTGGGAATAACTCGAAGTAAAGTAACTATGATATATTTTCCCGACTTTCTATGTATCTATTTTCATTGTATTTATCACCATTGAAAAGTCTTAAGCTAACTACCCATCCAAGGTTTCCCCAGAAAACACGAGACATTGTTTATTCAATGAAATAATCTCTGCCACCTACTAATGAACGCCACCTGGTTGGATTTGGAGGGCCATTCAGATCGGGAGATTCACTTGTTTCGTCTAAAGCTTTAGTTGTTTGAATCTCACTTTTTGCTGATTAAACAGAGATTTTGGTTGATGAAACCATCATTTTGGTCGGTGAACCCCCACCTTCCAACATGGGAAAATCAGCCCATCCACTGGCCCAACTGTGGCCACGGTGCCAGTCGCAAAGGCCGCTCCGCGGTGCGGTTCCGGGCGGGAACAGTGGTCCGGGTCTCCTCGGCAACGGGAGTCCCGTGATTCTTCATCATCATCAACATCATCATCATCATCATCATCATCATCCTCATCATCGTCATCATCATCATCATCATCATCGTCATCATAAAAAAGTAGTGCCTGGGCAAGCCGGGGGCGGAAGTTTGAAATTAAAAACCCCTACAGCCTAAAGAGCGGGACAAAGAATGTGCCTCTAAAGTACGGCTAAGCCTTCTGGTGCTTGGCAGCAACAATCTCTTGACTTGTCATTCCGGTGCCATCCCTTTTTAAGTTTGGATCTCTTCTCACTTCGTGTCATCTCATGGCATCGCAACTTCTCTTGGAAACTGCTCAGCGCATCCCACTGTCACAGCGTCTGTGTCATCCCATCTCATCTCATCTCATGTCGTATCGTCTCAGCGTTTTTCACCTCACCTCACCTCATCTCATCTTATCTCACGTCTTCTCTTCTTTTCTCCGCTCTTCTCAGCTGATCACGACTGTTCTCATCTCATGTCATCTGAGCTTTTCTCATCTTTTCTCAGTTCATCTGAACTCTTCTCTTTTGAGCTCCTCTCGGCTTCTCAATTCTATGATGCTTGTCTCAGCTAAGCTCTTCTCAGCTCTTCACCGCCCTTCTCATGTTAGGTCGTCTCAGCTCATTCCATCTCATTTCATCTCATCTCAGCTTTCCCAGATGTTCTCAGCTCTTCTCATCTCTTCGCAGATGTCAGCTCATCTCATGTCTTCTCATGTCTTCTCTCCTCTTCTCACATTCTAAGCTCTTCTCAGCTCTTCTTACATCTCCTCACCTGATCTCAGCTCTTGTCAGCTCACTCTCAGATCATCTCAGCTCTTCTCTGGGCCAAAACCTGCTCCAAAACTATATCCCGGCGCCAAAGCCACACAAAAAGTAGGATCTGAGGATTTCGAGTCAATTTCGCAGGAAAATGGAAGGCGCCAAAAGCGAGAAACATCTCATCAAAAACGAATCGTCGCAACTTTGGCGCAACCATTCCCATGCGATTTGCAAAAGAAACATAGAGCAACGGGGGTGCAGCCACGCCAATGGAATTTGCAAGCAGGCGAGTCGCAAAAGACGATACAGCTACGAGTGCTATAGACCTTTCGCACCCAAGTACCCGCGCAACAGCAACGCAGAGCAACTGTGACGCAGCCACCCCCATGCAATTTGCCAGCAGCAGGTTGCAGCAGCCAATAAAATGACGTTCACAAGACAGAAGCTTCTTCTCCTGGCCAAAACCTGCTCCAAATAAAACCGGGTCTCGGCGCCAAAGATGAAAAAAGTGCGATTTCGATGCTTTCTTAAAATTAATTCTAATTAATGTGGGATACAGATTAGTGTGGGGATACACAATTGTGTCCACAGACCTCAAAATTATTGTGTAACTCTGGAAATGATCGAGGGGTACAGTTTTGTGTCCACAGGATTTTGGTGTAAGTTTTTTTTCATTTTTTTTTAGTTTTTAATTGTTTTTTATTTTTATTTTCAATTATAATAATTTTTAATTATAATAATTTTTAATTATAACAATTTTTAATTTAATTACTTTTTATTTTATTTTAAATTACTTTTTATTTTTATTTTTAATTATATTTTTTAATTGTTCTTTTAAAATTGTGTCAGGATACACAATTGTTTCATTGTGTCAGGATACACAATTGTGTCTTGGTCTTTTTTTGTTGTTCAAACATTTTTCATTTTTTCATTTTTTAAAGCTTTTTTCTTTTACTTTTTATTTTCCATCATTGAAATTTTCCCCAGAATCATTGAAATTTTCCCCAGATGCCTTCCACAGAAAATTACATCCAGGTACACAATAGTGTGGTTTGTTTGGAGGGTACACTATTGTGTCCTGCTGCTTCCTGAGGTCATGATTTTTTGATTTTTTCAATCATTTCCTTTACCTTTTCCTTTGCTAAAGTTTTTTCTTTTAATTACTTAATTACTTTCTTAGTTTCTTTCATTTGAAATTCTCAGAAATGCACAGTTTCCCAAAATATATGATGCCTTATTAAAACCCAATTAAAAAACATCACTCAAACAATTTTTCAAGGGGGTAGTCCATGAGCAACCCTGATACACAATAGTGTGGTTTGTTTGAGGGTACACTATTGTGTCCTGCTGCTTCCTGAGGTCATGATTTTTTGATTTTTTCAATCATTTCCTTTACCTTTTCCTTTGCTAAAGTTTTTTCTTTTAATTACTTAATTCCTTTCTTAGTTTCTTTCATTTGAAATTCTCAGAAATGCACAGTTTCCCAAAATATATGATGCCTTATTAAAACCCAATTAAAACACATCACTCAAACAATTTTTCAAGGGGGTAGTCCATGAGCAACCCTGATACACAATAGTGTGGTTTGTTTGAGGGTACACTATTGTGTCCTGCTGCTTCCTGAGGTCATGATTTTTTGTTCTTTTTCAATCATTTCCTTTACCTTTTCCTTTGCTAAAGCTTTTTTCTTTTATGGTATTTCTATGGTATTACTATTGGATTTCTATGGAATTCCTATGGGGTTTCCATGATGTTTCTATGATATTTCTGGAGGATTTCTATGGGATTTCTGAAGGGGTGCTATGGGAGTTCTATGGTATTCTTATGGGATTTCCATTGGATTCCTATGGTATTTCTATGGTATTTCTATTGGATTCCTATGGAATTTCTATTGGATTCCTGTGGGATTTCCAAGGTATTCCCTATGATATTTCTATGGGATTATTATTGGAATTCTCATGGGATTTCTTTTGTGGTTCCTATGCTATTCCATGTTATTTCTATGATCTTTCTATGGTATTTCTGCGAGATTCCTATGGGATTTCCATGGTATTTCTATGATATTTCTTTGGGACTACTATTGGATTTCTATGGGATGTCGATTGAAGGTAAATTGAAAGTAAATTGAAATCAATTGAAAGTAAATTGAAATCATTTCAAAATAAATTGACATCAATTCAAAGTAACTTCAAATCAATTGAAAGTAAATTGAAATCAATTGAAAGTAAATTGAAATCAATTCAAAGTAACTTCAAATCAATTCAAATTAAATTGAAATCAATTGAAAGTAAATTGAAATCAATTCAAAGTAACTTCAAATCAATTCAAAATAAATTCAAACCAATTGAAAGTAAATTGAAATCAATTGAAAGTAAATTGAAATCAATTCAAAATAAATTCAAATCAATTGAAAGTAAATTGAAATCAATTCAAAATAAATTCAAATCAATTGAAAGTAAATTGAAATCAACTGGAAGTAAATTGAAATCAATTCAAAATAAATTCAAATCAATTGAAAGTAAATTGAAATCAATTCAAAATAAACTCAAACCAATTGAAAGTAAATTGAAATCAATTCAAAATAAATTCAAATCAATTGAAAGTAAATTGAAATCAATTGGAAGTAAATTGAAATCAATTCAAAATAAATTCAAACCAATTGAAAGTAAATTGAAATCAATTCAAAATAAATTCAAATCAATTGAAAGTAAATTGAAATCAATTCAAAATAAATTCAAATCAATTGAAAGTAAATTGAAATCAATTTAAATCTTTTTTTTATTTTACACTATTCTGTACCCTCTACTTTGGTTTTTTTACAATATTCTGTGCCCCAAATTTGTTTGGGGGGGGGCCTCCCCACACTAATCTGTAACCTACATTAAACATGAAAGGCGCCCAAAACAAGAAAAATCACCAAAAACTCGTCGCAATTGAACTGCAACTTCTACATGTGAAACCGAAGCGTTCATTCAAGACTTTCCTCAAAAACTGAAAGTTGAAGATGTAAAAAAAAAAACGAAGCGTCCGTGCAAGACTTCCTGCAAAAACTGAAAGTTGAAGATGTAAAAACGAGACTTTCTGCAAGACTTTCCTCAAAAAGTGAAAAGTTGAAGATGTGAAAACAAAGCTTTTTTGCGCGAGACTTCCCTCAAAAAGTGAAAGTTGAAGATGTGAAAACAAAGCTTTTTTGCGCGAGACTTCCCTCAAAAAGTGAAAGTTGAAGATGTGAAAACAAAGCAACGAAGCTTTCTAGTGGTGGCTGTGATGGTGGTGGATGTGATGGTGGTGGCGGTGGTGATGGTGGTGGTTGTGATGGTGGTGGTTGTGATAGTAGTGGTTGTGAAAGTGGTTGTTGTTGTGATAGTGGTGGTTGTGATAGTGGTAGTTTTGATAGCGGTGGTTGTGGTGGCGGTTGTGTTGACTTTTGAATGTCCGTAAAACGGAAGTACTACGGACTTCTAAACTACCTTTCATAATAACACTAGCAATCATCATCAAAATCACCCAAATAATCATCATTATTATTCGTATTAACATTCTCATCATCACTGGACCCGTTTTCAAACTCAAACCTAAGATCAATATCATGGCTTTCTAGTCATTTTCAGTGTACCCAACAAAGATTTCACCACAATTGGCTGATGTTTCTTTATCAAAAAACATGTTCACCTTCACCTTAAATGATTTGGGTGTTGTCGGTAAAACCGGAGTCTTAACTTTAATGGAAAACCGGGACGTTTTTTCGGTTAAACCGATTCAGAAACGTGGATTCCACCACAAACAAACACTAACACAAATATGGATTGACCATCAATACATATCAATACTAAGAAGAACATTAAATAAAACGATACAACACTATATAAGAATTACTGTCTAACACTAGAAGTAATAATGAAACCAAGAATATTGTACGATAATAGTCACCTGCAAACATCATGAAAATAAATGTCGCGTATTCAATGTATTGGTTTCAGAAACAAAACATAGAGAATACCATCAGTTCCCCGTTAAACAAAACAAATAAAGGAGTTTCCAGTGAACAACCATAGATTTAATTCTGGGAATAATCCCAAAACCGTATTGCAGTAATTCAGATGGAAATTGACAATGTCAGAATCAACCAAACCAACACTGAATATACCAAACAGCTCGTTGTATCTATTTGGAAAATTCTGGGTAAATTATAGTAATTCACTAACCTGAATCAAGGTCATTTGGGGATGATTTCCCTTATTAACCATGATTCCAGGGCTCGGTCGCGACGTGAGATCGTTACAATTTGCCCATGACCACGGCCACAACGTTAATTTGCGCAGTTCTTTTCGCAACATTTTGTGATTCTTCACCAAGCTGACATGCTGGGACACTTGGCATAGTTTGGGTGTGTCTTTTTTTCGTGGGTGTACCCCCAATTCATGGCAATGAATTGATAGGACATGATTCACCAGTAGATATAGAGTCTCAAAGGTACCCTATATCATCGTCCATCTACTGGTACATATATACGATATTTTTCTATATATATATATATATATATGTAATTTACTAAATCTACTGGTGAAAAATGGCACATATATGCATATATATATAATTATATCATATATATATATTATATTTGGCATTTTTGAGGGTGGCATAAAATCACTAATTACATCGTCCATGTGGCTGGAACACCTCCCACTTAATGCCCACGGCACCTCTACATATGTGACGCCCTGAGCCATGCACCTTGGAACTACGGGAGACGGGGGATTTAAATGTTGGAACACGATTGAACCATCAGGATTCAATGTATGATGGTATCAATTTTGATTGTACCCTCTGGTAATTTAACATAGCTATTGAAAATCACCATTTTTAATGGGAAAATCCACTATAAATGGTGATTTTCAATAGCTATGTTAAATTACCAGAGGGTATGTGTGTTTCTCAAAATTGGATTATCCCACTTAAACCAATGTTTCCCTACCAGCAAATGATTATTTTTGGATTTAGGGGGTTCGGGTTTCCACATTTTGAGGAACTCCCCGTGCCAATCTTAGATACCCTGCAAGAAAAATATTTCTTAGCTGGTGAACGTAGATACTCTCATTGAAACCAACAGACTTTAGTGACTAAAGGATTGAAGTACCCATCTAAGATTCACCTCGTGGAGCGATCACAATTCCGACTCTCAGGAGACTCGCGGCAATGGGTGGACCACAGATTTTCCCTCTGGTAAACGTTTTACAAACTGGAAAATCACCATGTTTTATAGGTAAATCAACGAACTCAATGGGCCATGGCTTCAATAGCGAACTGTTCAATTACCAAAGGGTAAATCTATGTTTAGTATTTACCATCCAAGAATTTTTGGTACTAATTTTGACCCATACCCACATGCTGCATATTTTTCAAGAATGTTGGTGTGTACCCTCTGGTACATCAAGAAACATCATGAAACATCCTCATTTAGGTCCACATATAAAATTTCGAAATTCGTCATTGTGACTTTGAAACCAGCCTAGATTGCCAAAGACTACAATCAGCCAAATCGTGTCAAATCATGTTGAATTGAGATGCTGGGAATTTGGATCATTCAGTTCCTATCTTGAAATGATGTTATATAAACATCTTAAATCTTAAATCTAATGTTTGATGCTAAAATCCTCACATTTGATGGTTCAATCCCACATTCTCTGATGGTTACATATCTAATTATCTCACGTGCTTCTGATTAAATCACCATTTTGCTCATGTTTTCATTCTGTTTCATCATCATCAAATTGCTGGTATTACATCATCATCGTTTTGTTTTTTCCATGGAGAACTCTTATGTAATCACTTGTGGCTGGGAATTCCCCGAACTAAATGGAAGTTTCTAGCTGGGAAAACCATCCATAGATGGGTTTGCAGATGATTTTCCTATTACCCTCTGGTAAACTAACATAGCTATGGAAAATCACCATTTTCTAGCTGGGTAAATCCACTATTTCTATGGCCATTTTCAATAGCTATTTTGACATAACCAGAGGGTAAAACCTCCATTTCGTTCCCATGGGAAATCTGGGTTGCCCCAACTCCTTCTTGCGCCGCTGCTGCAAGGCCAAATATTCCACCGTCTGTCGGTGTTGGGTGCGACTTGAGGCGAATTTTATAGGTTTAGCCGCCTGGGAAATATAGGAAATCATGGAACACATTATCGGAACAGGTGGGAAAACATGGGGGAATCATCTGGCAGTGTGTCAAAACCAATTGTACCCCTTCTGTTCACATCAAAATAGCTGGGATTTATGGATGTTCATCCCACTAAAAATGGTATTAATAGGTATTGATCCATACCCATCTATAGATGGCAGATGTTTGGCAAACATGGGGATGTTTGATGAATTTTGCCATGAAACATTGAGCTCTTCTACCTTGTATCATGTCGATTTTAAGCATCAAACATGTGTTTTTTCTAGCCGTGAACATCTGGATTTTGATACCAATTATGGAGCATTTGGATATCTTGCCAACATGGGGACTTGAAGACTTGAGTGCTTCAGTTAAGTCCCTTCACCTGGCAACCAGACATTTGCCAGATTAGATTCTCAGAGACTGACCCGCGGACGGTCAATTTCTGGGATCTCCCGCCCTGGATTGGGCATAATCTCCATTAAGTTCACCGTCAGATCATCAGATCATCAATGGATATTATTGTCTATTATTGTCTGATCACTGTGTGTCCTTAATTTCAGCACTCGCAATTTCTCTGACAATGATTTCCGAACATGGATCATGTTTCAAATCTGATTAGCATAACAAAACAATCAACGCACATTTCTTCGGTGTGATATCCTTTTGCCTTCTGCACTTAGAATCACGCCGTATTTTATTGGGTCAACTCAAAATTGTTGATACCCCTATACCCAAATCATCATTTTGGAGGATATCCCCATTCTCATCACCGACCTTGGATACTTCTTTGACAAGTTAAGGCTAAAACATCCACCAAACTGTTCGCAACCAATGTCTCTCTTCAGCCCAGAATCATGTTTGTTCCAGGTGTTGTGGATTAAATCAATTTATCAAGGTGCTGATTGAATCATAAATTTCTTCGTTAACCTCCGAAGTTTTCATGATTCACCTGAAAAGTTCGGCCGGTTGGGAATAATTGCAAATATATCCACCATCCTTTACATCTACCCTCTGGTAAATTAACATTTTTCCAATCGCCAATGAAGACGCGTGGCTTGCCATTGGCTGATGGCCGAGTGTGGCCGGTGACTCTTGGTGACTAAAAAGGACCTCTTCGGAGAATAGCAGCCTCCGCCAAGTAATCTATGTCAGCTTGGTTGGGGTGCGGCGGCGCCACTCTACCGAGGGCGTGTAAAGCATCCTTTGCTGTTTCATTCAGCCAATCCAGTTTTGGTCTGCCTACTCTTTTTGAGTTTTCGTTTTTTCCATACAACAGAGATTTCCGTCACCTCTACGTTGTAGCTTTTGGCACGGTCCCTTACAATTTGATTCGTTCGCGTTCTGTCGATGAATGTTGGGTGAGTTTTGAGAATGCAACGCATGCATTTCATTTGGTAAACTAACATAGCTATGAAAATTACCATTTTCAATCCGTAAATCATCAATAAATGGGCCATCTTCCATAGCTATGTTAGTTTAGTCTAATGTGTAATCTACCCAAATGCGGCTATGGATGAAAAACCCAGTATCCTGCTGTCCACATCTGGTAGCTGGTTTTCCGCTAGATGTCCCTTCGGCCCCAAAATATGATGGGCTTGTCTGAACAGGGCAAGGGCACCCCATGTATTTAACATAGCCATGGAAAATCGCTTATGAATGGAGGTTTAATGGGAAAATCATCTATAAATGGGCCATTTTCCATGGCTATGTTAAATAACCAGAGGGTAAATGGCGACTTTGAAAGGTATCCCATATTTTCAGACAGGCCCTTTTCTATCTGGATAACAAAAAACGCTTACTAAGGGTGACTATGCCCAAGTGGCATTATTTCAGGTTAGTGAATTACGATAACCTATCCAAATAATATACCCATATTATATTTATAGCTATATGTCGTACATATATTTGTTGACATCTGTAAATCTGTTTGAACAATAAACATTATTTAACAGTTTTAAATCGGTTTCGTAGGTTTATCAAGCAACATACAGAAGGAGCATACAACGACATCATTCTATTCATCATATCTATCTCCAAATATATATATATATATATAGAGTTATACATATATGGGTTAATTATTCACTAACCTGGAATAAGATATGAAATAAGACCATATTGGGATAATTCATGATAATTTCACTTACTAACCATCATTTCCAGTGAGGTCGTAGTGAAGTTGTTAGAATTTACCCAGATATTTTTTGGTTGCTCCAACAGCCCCACCTCCAGCAGGTCTTTCAAGCGCCCCGCAGCGCCATCAGCTCCTGGAGCACCAGTGGCTTCAAGCGACCAACGGGTGGCTTTGGAGCATCTGTGGCTGGTATTTGTGTTTTGTAATGTACCGTAGTCACCTTGGATTTTTCGAAATGGATTTGCATGTAACAAGTTTGCAACAGCTGTTTTGTTTAGATTTCTTTGGTTTGTAGCAGGGTAACGCATGTTTTTTCTGTGAAATCTGTTTGTTTGTTGTATGTTGAGTTGTGGTTTGTGCCGTTTCAAAGGAACTGACAGGAAGAAACAAACATTCCTACTGGCGCCCTGCTTCAAAAAATGAATATTTTACTATTTTGACTTAGACAGCCACTTGCATCAACCAAACATTGAAGGATTTACTAACAAAAACTGGGAATGTGTCAAACCTTGGGTCAAAATGAGGACTACTTTTGGGTGTCATGTGGTTAAAACAATGTCATAAACCACCCATTTGGAAATGGTAAACATACCAACCATAAAAATGGTGATGTCGGGATGGTTTATTATTGTTTTAACCACATGATTAAATATCTATATTTATGTCCTTTTGCAATTCGCGTTATTGATAGGATGACCGAACATGAGTGAAAGTAAGAATTTCTTTCACCTTTGGATCAAAAAAGGCAATGTTGTCACCTGTTCAAAATTTTGTGGCTACTGTCTCAAGGCCATTGCAGCAAATGCCAAAAACAATGGCGAGATCGAAGCAGGGCAATGTCGAGGAGCCATGCGTAGACCTGGAATCCACAATGGTAACCATCACTGTGGTGGATGCTCAGGCATCAAATCAGCGGGGCGCAGCAGCAAATCAAAGGGCCCTGCCACTGCGGGATCCCTGGAGGCCACCCACTCCATCAATCGGGATGTGTATTCTCGATTGACATGGAATCGCTGCTGCAGCTCGAGGAATGTCTGGTGCCTGAAGACTTCAGCCACCTCTCCGCCGTCGATCAGGTTGATGCTGTCGTCTTCAATGGTCTGCAAGATCTCCCTATAAAGGGACCAGCTGCTGACCAGCAGGTGGTACTGAGTCAGCTCCGACAAAAATTTCTTCGGGAAATCCCAGAGGTACAGGAACTATATCCCAACTTATGGTTATTTTTTACCCTGGTGAGTCATAGCGATTAGATTTCTCCCAGCATTCATGGATTCATAAGGGGACAATTCCGCCTGAGAAATCCCGTGATTTGGGAAGATGTTTCAGAGGTTTCAACATACCAATATCATCCAATATCATTCACCTACCATCTGGTTATGAATAACAGTTTGCCATGGAAAATCACTATTTTTAATAGGTAAACCATAAAATATAAATTGGCCATTTCCCATGGCTATGTTAAATAACCAGAGGGTATATGTACTTATATGTTGGGTCTGTTTATATGCTCAAACCTCGTGAAATGCCACACAATTTATATGGAAGGCCCATGTCACATGTCACATCATGTCGGACTCGGACCTCCAGTGCTGCCCAAGGCATCTGGAACCTCATAGCAGATTCACGACGTGGTTTTTTTCAACGCTTTTTGAATGCAAAAAAAGGAAAACCAAAGTTGTTCCATGGTTTTTCCATGCAAAGTTGTTTTTTTGATGATCGGATTGAAATTGTACAGAACAATTTAGCTGGGATAGTTTGGAAATAGTTTTTTCTGAAGACTGGTTTCTCTTAATTACATATCTCAAAATCGTCCAACGGTTGATATCTCAAATATGTTCTTGTTTAATCTATGGTTTTTAATACCCCAAATATCCTTAAAAACAATAAAACATCACATCCAACTGATCGATTCCCCAGATCATCTAAATAAATTTAGATATCCAAGTTTTCCGCCCAAAACATGGATAGATCACTATCCATTACATACCTTCCAGCAGGTTTTTTTGGGGCGTGATTAATGCTAGGAGAAAGGCAAGACCTCTAGGACTCCAGGATTGAGCTGAATCCTTGGGAATAGAACCAACAAACATATACAAAAAAAGCAAAAAATAGCGACACATGAAAAATGTGAATTTCTTTCGCGGAAAACTCCGCCGTGGGAATTCAACCCTTCAAGCAAAATGGGAAACTGATCGATTTTGTTGTTGCCAATGCAAGAAAGAGCCCCATCGGGTTCAAGTTACACCAAGACTTTGCTGGTGTCCAACGATCAGAGGCCCATAAACATGTTCAATGCAAGCCCTCAGAACGAACCAGCGGATCCAAAGAAGCAGCGGTGATTCCAGCTGTACTTGCCGCACGAAGATATCAAAGGCCAAGAACTTGCCGCACTTCTGCCAGTGAGTTCTTCACGTTGATCAGTCTGGCTTAGAACTCGAAGGCGTATTAAAGCCGAGTGTGCCGCCAATTCTATGAGGTCCACCAAACCCATAGGATCCATGGTGCTGGTATATATGCTAACATAAACGGGGTATATAGATGGGATCCATGGAGCACCATATATAGCAGCACCGTTAGGATCCGTCATGAGAAAGGAATCTGATGAGAAAAGTCTCATCCCTCAGATGGCGGACAGAAGCTGCAAATCCCGTAGCCGTAGCCAAAGACCTGGACCTAAACGATAGCAATCCCTTACCTCTAGAACATATTTGAAATCAAAAGCTAGCAACGACATCTGAAAAATGTGAACAACAAAAACAGTCCAAGTACTTCCGGGTTTTAGATTGAAATATGTGTTTATTGATTTATTGATGTTTATTGCAGGGATTTCTGATGATGTCCTTGCTGGAACATGATCGGCTGATTGCCCCAACAAAACTATGTTGTTTGTTGATGATCACGGGCAGCATCTATCTTTGGGTGACCCAATTTTGATTCATACGCACTTGATCCTAATCTATATAATTCTCCTCGGCCCATCTTTCTTGTGTACAGCAGCTATGAACACCCGATATCCCAACACTCCAAATACAAGGCAGGGACACTGGCCAAATAAAAACTCATCAGTAACATGACCATTTTTCCATATTTTTCCCCTCAAACAAAAGTGGCTTCTCATTTGGGTATGGATCAATACCTATTTTTAGTGGGATGAACATCCATAAATCCCAGCTATTTTGATGTGAACAGAAGGGGTACTATTGGTTTTGACACACTGCCATTTCCCAATATGCCAAACTGCTTTTTCCACCTGTCCCCCCCGGACTGACCCACGGTGGAAATCATCGCCTTGCGAAGGTATTCCAAATCCACCGCCAACTGACTGGCGCCCGCAGCTGTGAGCTCTCTGATCTTCATGACCTGCGCCCAGCTGGAAGGAATCCATTGGTCCATCACCATGTTCCCTATGGAAATTGCCATATTTTCATTGGGGGTATACCTACCCCCAAAATGAAAAAACACACCAAAGTCGGAAACAAAAAAGTGCTGCAATAGGGTGAAAGGCTGGCATCAAATATAGATCTAAATAGATCTAAATCACCAAAGACGAGAAAAACCACTTGCGAATGGCAACACTATGGCTTTCCGAAAAGGCAACAGAGCTCCGACTAGTGATGGTTATCTGATAAGTGCCAATCAGATCATCACTATGGCCTGTCAGGGGAACCAGGCCTGGAATCACCATCAAATAGAAGACCTTTGGTGACTTTGGTGGTGTTCAAACTCAACGAACAGCCATAGAAATCATTGGTTTGTGGTTTCAAATCCCAAGAAAACTATGCTCATCAATGCTCATCAATAGAAATCATCGTCCCATCTTTAGGGTTGAAAATAACACATGTTAAACCAACCGGGTAATGATATCCACCATCAACCAACAGGACTTCAGTCGGTGAAGCCACAATATAAAGAATCTGCTATGACACACAAATTCCACTTAGAAGAAAATGACTCTCTACTGACTGAACAAAAATAGATAACAAGAAATGGATAAATGGGATACCCTCTGGTAAACTAACATAAGAACGGAAAATCACCATTTTGAATAATTACCATTTTCAATAGCTATGTTTGCTTACCAGAGGGTATTTGCCAACATTTACCAACTCCATTGGTCAATATCCCCACTTACTGGCAATCCCAAAAACTGGTTGATGTATAAAAATCCCCATGTTTGTTGCTTAAGGAAAAAATCATGATCTCTGCAAGTCTTGGAGACGTTGTAACCCCCAAGAATTCTTGGTTGATATATTTCTTGATGATACATAGTCCCATATAGATATCCTCCATTTCTTTGTTTTTGGCTGCTGTACTGCTGTACATGACCCCAAATCCACTGGTGAATCCATCATTTTCCTGGATAGACCCTATTATTTGCAGGCAGACCGAACCATCAACTATAACATGAAGCTATACATAACTGGTTGGTGGTATACCTACCCCTCTGACCCCTCTGAAAAATATACTAGTCAGTTAGGATGATGATATTCCCAATATATGGGAAGTCATATAAATTCATGTTCCAAACCACCAATCAGATAATATATATCCCCAATTGTGCTTGGTAAAATCCCCATATTTGTTGGTTGATCTCCAATTTTTCTGCACAAACAACTCACATCCCAACCGCCAAACCTTTCGCTCATGTCGGAGGGCGCGCCTTGTCGACCACCACATCCACAGAGGCTTCTAGGATCGCTGGAAGCCATTGAAGCTCAGAGCCTTCCTAGTGGAGATAGAAAAAACGGGATAGGGTAGTGGTTCAACCCGTAACTTGATAAAATTGAAATGATGTAAATGTGTCATTTTGTGGCTAAGTATAAAATATTACTAACAAAATATGTCTAAATGTATCTGAACGTAGTACAATACATGGCCTGTTTTCTTTTGTTACACTTTTATATAGTTTCTTTAAAATTGTAGAAGGTATATACGTGTATATATATATATATAATTATATTATATACAGTATACATACATACTCGAACTCACAAAATATTTAAGAATTTCCCGAACATGGATGCAGCAGGGGGAATATCACCAACACAGAAATGGGGAACCTCCTACTATTAGACACCCCCAGAAACCATGGCTTAGTAGGGGATCTACACACATCAGGCTGCACATGTTGTACCTTTTAGGGGTGTGAGGGATGATACATTTCATGCACACACAGAGATTAGACATGATTCAAGGACGACAAAAGCGGAGCACCAACAAAAAAGAGCTTTGCTGGCAACAGTGGCCAAGAATAAGCAACAGGGAAGAACATGCTTAACTCAAAGACACAAGATTCACATCTTGTTGACTCGTTGGTGAATCTGTGATTAGCACACGTTCGTGCTAGTGAAGTTCATAGGATGACGGCAAGGGAACTCAAGACCAACGTCTTTTAGTTTTTGAGCGCTGAACCAATTGCAAGCCTTCTTAAGCGCTAAGAAAGGTTCCTCTAGCACATGTTCATCATTTTCATACATTTTCCAATTGAACATGATTGCCAAAGCCGGATCAAATGACCACCTCTATGATCTCTATGCAGGATGAGTCTGTTGCGACATATTTCTAAAGCGTTTCCAACGAAGCGTTTCCAAAAGAATATGCACCTTACGTCAGTAGGGATCACCATGATCACAAGCGCCGTTTTTACCATCTTTTTACCATGCCCTCCGCAGGAAATCCTTCTCTTTCGAGGTAACCACTCAATGGCCAATTCAGGTACCGATTCATTGGAGCTACCATCTAGAACTAGACGACGGATGGCCCGAGAGCGTAGAGGAGCAGGGTCTTCTCTTGTTAGTATGGAGACACAATTTTACAAACAATATATGAAAGATGTGTTATAGGCAGTCGAGAAGAGGAGTAGCAAGACAAAATAGTGAGAAGTGCAAGACAATAGTTTGCATCGCAAACACTTTTACACACAGAAGCTTTTACACACAGACGCTTTTACACACAAAAGCTTTTACACACAGAAGCTTTTACACACAGAAGCTTTTACACAGAGGCTTTTACACACAAAGCTTTTACCCACAGAAGCTTTTACATACAAACGCTTTTACACACAGATGTTTTTACACACAGACGCTTTTACACAGACACTTTTACACACAGACACGTTTACACACAGACACTTTTACACACAGACCTTTTTACACACAGGAGCTGCTTTTACACACAAACGCTTTGACACACAGAAGCTTTTACACATAGATGCTTTTACACACAGGCACTTTTACACACAAACACTTTTACACACAAACACTTTTACACACAGACGCTTTTACACGCAGACGCTTGTACACACAGAAGCTTCTACACACAAACACTTTTACGCAGAAACACTTTTACACACAGACGCTTTTACACACAGACGGCTTTACACACAAGCGCTTTTACACACAATCACTTGTACACACAGACGCTTTTACACAGAGGCCGGCCCATGTAGTCACAGCGAAGTCATCGTTGTCGTGGCGACCTCAGCAATCCGACGGGGTGGTGTGGCGAAGTCCTATTTCCATGTGCCTCGAAACCAGCATGTATAAACATGTCATGCGGGCTATGTGCTTTGGGGCCCCCCAACCAAGGTGCATGGTTTGCCATCTCCTGGAAAAAAGTATAAACGGGCGGACCTGGCAGGCGGCGAACGTTTCTGGGCTGGGACACGCACAGTATTACAATATGATATAAGTTGGTTCTTTAACATCTTTACACCGAAACACTCCGATACACAAACACGTTTACACAAAAACACTTTTACCCACAGAAGCTTTTACACACAAACACGTTTAAACAGATGCAATTTTACATACGATCACTTTTACACACAAACATCTTTACACAGAACCACTCGTACACACAAACCCGTTTACACACAAAGACTTTTACACACAGAAGGTTTTACACCAAGACTTCTACACAGATGCACTTGTACACACAAACACCTTTACACACAAACATCTTTACACAGAAACGCTCGTACACACAAATCCCTTTTCCTGCGAAAGGATTACTCCAGCACACGATAAATCGCAATTTTACCTCAGTTTTTGCCGATCGACCATCATTTCGTGCGAAAGGGTTGCTCCAGGACACGATAAATCGCAATTTTACTTCAGTTTTTGCCGATCGATCTTCATTTCGTGCAAAAGGGTTGCTCCAGCACACGAAAAATCACAATTTTACCTCAGTTTTTGCCGATCGACCCTCATTTCGTGCGAAAGGGTTGCTCCGGGACAAGTCAAATCGCAATTTTACCTCACTTTTTGCCGATCGACCCTCATTTCGTGCGAAAGGGTTGCGTTTCGTGCCGTCTCGTTTGCACTGCCCCTGCCCCCGCCTTCAGAAGAGAAATAGAAAAGAAGGAGAGAGCAAGAGGGCAAGAGGGCAAGAGGGCAAGAGGAGAAGATGTGAAGATGTGAGGATGTGAAGATGAGAAGATGTGAGAAGATGTGAGAAGATCTGAGAAGATGTGAAGATGAGAAGATGAGGAGAAGATGGGAGGATGAGAAGATGTGAAGATGAGAAGATGTGAAGATGAGAAGATGTGAAGATGTGAAGATGTGAAGATGAGTGAAGATGTGAGAAGATGTGAGAAGATGTGAAGATGTGAAGATGAGAGGATGTGAAGATGAGAGGATGTGAAGATGAGAAGATGTGAAGATGAGAGGATGTGAAGATGAGAAGATGTGAAGATGAGAGGATGTGAAGATGAGAAGATGTGAAGATGAGAAGATGTTTTACAGACCCCCACTATTGGAAGAACCCTGCGCTCAGACGCTCTCGGGAAAAAGGCCTGTCAGGGCTCAATTTCAGGGAATCTACCCAAATATGGCCAATAAATTACAATACCCCCTGGTACCCTAACAAAGCGAACAGGAACATCACCATGTTTAAGTTGGGTAAATCATCAAAACAAATGGAAATGTTCAAACATGGTGATGTTCCAGTTTGTTTGTTCCAGTTCAAATTACCAGGAAAAATACCGGATTTTCAGCGCAGCTGTCTGATGCTTTTTGTATCTTTACCGGTACGGGTACCTTCACTGAAGTTCCGGGTGCCTGGGACTTCTCCAGTTGCGGCATCAACGAGAAGAGATGTTCTGGCACCTCAAAGGCTGTTAGGAACTGAGATTGCAATAAACCATTTACTGGTGCTTACAATTCAGTTGGGCAGCTGGAATATGTGAACATATCATCTATATAATCCTGGAACATTCTGGAACCACTTTTTGTATATCTTTTCTGGGGCTTGCTAGCAAGCCTTTGCCATACATTAGGAAGGTCACCGATCAGGCAACAGCAACAGATATGGAAAACCCATGGTTTTACCAGGAAAAGACTTATAAATGCTGAGTTTTCTTTGATTTTCTAGATCTATATTCAATGGGCTGTAGCATTATATATATATATATGCAGGATATACATGGATATACTACATAGATGTGGAAAATCCATATATGTATATATATATATTACTATACACCACATTACTTAAATAAGTCCTCATTTTTTGGGGGGGAGGAAATTCCACGGTTACAACCTTTCTTTACCCGTCTGCCAAGCTTCCAAGGTGATGCACTGCAAAGGACCATGGGCGATCTGCGCAGCAAGGCTTCGTGGATCTCCCAACAAACGAAACAAACTTTCTTCAACGAAATGTATATAATTTCCAAGGAGGAACATTAGTAGACCAGTATACCATAATGTTTTTGAAACAGTGGATTTTGAGATTTCGAAGCCAAGTTGTTGCACAAACACGCCTGATTCTCCAAGCGGATTCCTGCCCTCTTACAGTGGATGGACTGGAACGATAGACCATGATGGAGACCTTTGTCATGTTGGTGATTTCTACTTTTCCCCGCAGGAAGATCTTATATAATTTTCAACAAAAGAATTATACCCGTTGGTAATTCGACATAGCTATGGAACATCAACAGATCAATCTTTCAACACATCTAGAGTTATGGCCCTTCACAGTTTTAAATGGGATTATAATGATACATCGGAGTTAAACAATCGGATATTTTTGACCTTAGTTAAATAAGATTATGATAGATCATAATCCCATTTCATAGGGGTTTATGTTGAAATGATACATAACACAAACAATAACAACACTGTTTTGTTGTTGTTGTTTTTTTTAAAAATAATATCTCAATATATATGTATATATATCTAGTTTTTGTTATATGATAATAATATATATATGATACATATCAGAGTTTATATTATCATCCCGTATCAACTATATATTTAAATGGTTAAACCTGAGTTTTTTGACTTTTTTGATCACAGCCCTCGCTACGAAACCGCACCTCGTCGGACTGGAGATTCCATTCCTGGGAGTCGAGAAACGTCATCAGCTTATATTTCTATTAAAGATATATCATCATTACATATTATTATTATTATTATTACATATATCATATGTATATTACATATAGTTATATATATATATATATGTATGTATATGTAACAGCTATTTCTAGTTATTTCTGGTTGTTGAAAGGTTCTAGGCTCATGTTTGGTGTACACAATGATTCGACCTATACCCAGATACATTAATAGCTGTAAGCCCTTGGTTGGAAGAAATCCTGCACCAGTTCACAGGTAGTTTATCCATGTTTATCCCACTATTTATAGGGTTTCAACCATCCTTTTGGTGGTGCAGGATTTCGCTGGCCCATCCACAGTAGTACCACTGGTAAAGGTCATTGTGAACTTTAGAATCGTATTTTCCATGACTGTTTAGGCCCGAAACAATGTCTGAAAACGGGGAACAATGATCAACTTAATGATTCAACCGATCAGATAACTCACAATGGCCTTTCACCACAAAACTTGGATTTGCTCGAGGGTCCCAATCAAATAGAACATATATTATCATATACCCTCTGGTAATTTAACATAGCTATGGAAAATCACCATTTTTAATGGGAAAATCCACTAAAAATGGTGATTTTCAATAGCTATGTTAGTTTACCAGAGGATATTCATAAATATTCACTATAGATTCCACAAAATGGTGGATTTTCCATTGAGAGAATGAAAAACATCACCTTAAACAAACCCAGGACAATTGCATCCAGAATTCCCAAAATATCCCAAAATGCTCTGGAAGAAACTGTACAGTACATTTCGTACTCAGAGTGGCAATTTTTTAATCTACCCTCTGGTAATTTAACGTAGCTATTGAAAATGGCCCATTTATAGTGGATTTTCCCATTAAAAATGGTGATTTTCCATAGCTATGTTAGTTTACCACAGTGTATCAAAATTCCATTGGAAAGAACTCGAAACTACAAATCTGCGCCTGGTGGCTAAGGCTGTCATCCACTTGTTTCGCATGCATAGCCACCTTAGATATCCTTTTATCACGACATGCGACAATGTGACCAGTTGGATATCAACCAGTGTACTATATCAATGATTGCATCCATTCAAATTTTGCTCATGCATCCATCATAGTCATACATCATAAATATTCATAAATCATATCACACCATATAGATTTTCTAGACGGTCCATCGATGTAAACCACAATACTAATTATGAGGATTTCTTAAGATGATGGTACCCCCAAATCATCCAACACTAGACTATGAAAACGACGATGGCCACCGTTGCCCCGGGGCTCCCTACTGGCATCTCCGGATAGTCCTTCAGAATGCGCATCACCGGCTCGGCACAGCAGCGACAAACCACCTCTCGCACCTTCGCCGAGGCAAGGGAAGTGGGGAAGCTCAACTGCTTGTTTGTATACCTACCCCTCTGAAAAATATAAGTTCGTTGGTTGGGATGATGACATTCGCAATATATGGAAAACTAAAAAAATCCAAGCCACCAACCAGTATGGTAATTTCATGTCATTTCAGCACCTCAACAGAGGTTGGTCACCGTTGGTCACTGAGAATGTTGATAAATGCATATAAATGCTGTAAATGTGAAATCAAATTTGTCTTGTTTTGGAGTTTTTGAACATCGAAAAACGTATCTGAGTCTCAGATGACATATCTCCAATACTACTTAGTTGGGTGATATAGGAAAACTTAAGGGACATTTTGGGACATTTACCATCCCTTATGGTCACTATAGAATTAAATTCCTTTCTTTGTTGGTTCAATGACCAGCTTTTCGATAGGGCGACCCCCCTGGGCACCTGGTTCTCCACTCTGGACAGCGCAGCTGCTGCCGCTGGGAGCACCTCAATGACTTCAGTGGAACATCCCGTGGGGAATTTGATGAGTTTCACGAGCCAAACATTTGGATTCATGGGCGAAAACCCAGATGTGTACTTTTTTTTTGCGGTATCTAGTGAATTTACAATAGGACTCAATGAAACATAAGGAAACCAATATTGGTGCCAATAAAACAAAATGGTCCGGATTGATGGGCTATCAATTGCTTGAAGGAAGAGTTTAAACAACACCTAGGCTCCTGATATTAGATTCACACTGATTTGAATATGCCAAATGTTTTCTTCGGATTTGAACTTCCAAGATATGAATAAATATGAATAACTTGAGTTCGCCTTGCTGCATTCCATCCATGTCGATCTCTGCATGCCAATGGTTTGGTTGACCAGGTCATGCCGGATGTTTTTTTCGGCCCCTCTGAGTGGTCTGTTCAGCCACGTGTTCGGGACCGTTGAACAACGCCGCCTTCACTAGCTGTACCGGTCACGGTCGTCGCCTATCTGCTCTTTCATGGCCAGTCCGTAGGCGAAGCTGAGCCAGCTTCACTTCGATATTATGCCCTGTCTCTGGACCAGTAGGATAAAATTTTAGGAAGCGACCCCAATAGAACCTTACAAAAGACATGTCGCATCTGAAACGATTCAATGATGCAGCCCACTTCTCCAGACTGTTGACGTAAATTCATGGTTAGTTGAAGAGATAATGGGACATGTGTTCCCCCATTGCGGGTTGTTGGGCTTGGTTGCATTCCCTTTTGCCACTGGGAAGCATCCTGGATGCCCATAAGCAACTGATAGACTAAAAGCCATATTCATTACAGGGAATCAGGGGACAACCTGTTAGGTCAATAGTAACCAACAATATATATATATATGTAAATATATATATATATATAGAAAGAGATGCCACATACTCTGCCCCGCTATCACTCTTTTTCACTCCTGTGCAGGATGTCTCTCTGGTTGATCTGCCAAAGATCTAACCCTTGAACATGGGTATAGTTATACAAAGTATAACAATGGGTCGTGATCAGATAGTGGTTGGAAACCAACACACACATATCTGTAAGATGGTTAGACACAGTCTAAACACATGTCACCCGGGGGGTGATATCAAACAAAGACCCAACACCCCTCCCCCCGCAATGGGGTTCAGGGTGGGTGGGTAGGGAAAATTTGAAAAGGTATGTGGAGTGGACCTTGAGCCAAAATTGGCACCAAGGTCCATATGTAACCAACTCTTTCAAACCCCATGCAGCCCCTTCCCAACCAACCTACATACATGTATGGTAATATATATGTTAGGTTGATAGTGTATCAACTGATTAAGCATAGAGTAAGTATAAGTTAATGGTTGCAATCAACTGAATAGGAGACGCAGGAGTGCGGAAATAGGGAGATCTGCTTATCTTTCATAGAATGCATGTCTCAAACAAACTTGTGTGACTTGACCAGGCCTAGAGGTGTGCCCACGTGAAACCACCTACTTCTGAATAATGGATAGCCACAATCAAACTGCCGATCAACGTTTAGATTGGGATTTGCCACGTCGGGCATGCGCCGCTGTGTTGTTTTTGAGAATTTGAAAGTCGTTGTAGTGGCATCAACCGGGGAAGTTGGTCATATGGGCCCTGCTCAAAAAATGGGGCCCACTTCATGAATCCCAAAGATGGTTGGTCAGTGTTTTGGTTGGCCAACCCCCCATCTTTTGTTGATTCTGAACTCGCAACATTTCACAATCAGTATCTGCTACATAACATCATGTTTCTCCATCTATGCTCCACATGTTGCAAATCCTGCGCCCCCAGGGCAAACCTGGGCCCAGACCCCAGAGGAAGCTGAGCCTTCGATGAAGTCTGGCGGCCGGGGCCACGGCCGGCGTGGCCAGACTCGGAATTGAAAAAAAGCGTTGGCTGTTCAGTATATGGGTGTTTCCATACATCGATATATATATATATATATATACTGGTTGGTGGTTTTAACCATCTTGAAAAATATGAAAGTCAATGGGAAGGATTATCCCATATATTATAGAAAATAAAAAATGTTGCAAACCACCAACCAGAATGGATATAAATGGAGGATCCCCATTAGCTGGTTAGTTTCTTTCATGGAAAAGCCCAAACAAAAATGGATGATAACTGGGGGTAGCCCAATTTTTAGGAAACCTCCATATATCCATCAAAATGGAAAACAGCTAATTTGCCATTGTTACCCATCCAAGGTTTCTCGAAAGCTGGTTGATCTATATTCTGATTTATGGCAAGAAAACACTGACCAAACCGAGGTCAAGCAAGCCAGAATGGCGAATTCCAGGCTTCCCCATTCGTGCTTTTTCTTGGTGGTTTTGCTTGTAACATCCTTAATTATTTCAGCCGAAGCCGTGTTTTTTATCACATATATCTTCAAGGGACTTATTATAGTGACATTTGACCATGTTAGAATATGGCGGTGTACACCAGTATGTACGAAGATCATGGGTGAGGGTATCAACCTGTTGCTAACTATGGCAAAGTAACAGTACGGCACATGCATGCACCTGAACCGCACATCCCCTACGTCTTGCTTGGCTCCCGCCTTTTTAGAGATGTAGAGAAAAAACAACACAGATCAAAATAGATAGACCAGCTGGCTGGAAACCTGTAAATCATCATGTAAACATCATTGATAAGAATCCGGGAAATCACAAAAACACTTTCATTTTTTGGAAATGAATGATTGATAGAGAAACAACATCCTTGGAATGCCAGTAACAATAAAACTGCTGCTACCCTCTGGTAATTTCCCTTAGCCATAGATGAATCATCCACAAACTGATGATTTTCCGTGGCTTGGTTGAATTACCAGAGGCTAGTCTAGAAAAATATAGAAAGCAACTACTACAAGTTGGTGCAAAAAACAGCTACAAGTTGGCGCCCAATAACTCCCATCTGACAATCCGCAGACTCGTTAAGATATCTCTAGATATATGGAAACCATGAAGCCCAGTTAACCAACAAATAACCAACGACCTGCAAGGATCATCGAGTTCAGGATCTGTCCAAGTGGCCCACCGGGGCCTTGGTGAACCACCCATTATGACTTAGTGGGGTGATCCACCCGGAGCACCAGGCCTGCAGCAGATCTCAAGGAGGACTCCGAAGGAATGCCCAACTGAGAGGGCCATTGTGGGTCCTTGCGCCCAACAAAAAACCTGCAACATCTAGGAATTTAGCCAACATAATACCGATGAAATGAGATTTACCAAAAAAACACCTTGAGATTGATTGAAGCAAATGAATGCGGATCTAGCACATAACATATTATGAATTATCATACAGGCATACAGGTGGTGGTTTTTAACCAAACAGCAAGCAACATGCAAATTCAGTAATTCACGGAGAATCACAAACATACCCTCTGGTAAACTAACATAACTATGGAAAATCACCCTTTTTCTTGGGTAAATCAACTATTTTTCCTTACTATTTCGCCTGGGCCGTTTTCAATAGCAAACCGTTTGTTTACCAGGCCGGGTACTGCAAGATATTTTTTTCAGATCATGATCAAGTCAACCAACATGACCAACCATGATCCGTGTAGCCAATTGAGGTCAGTGGATGTCATCACACCTAACTCTCTGGGGACATGGCCATGGTGCCTTGGTACTGAAAAACACGATTTGTCTGGATATAAAAATCAGCCAGGAGTAGCCTCGCAGGCGACATGTACCCTCCGGTAATTTGTTGCATAGCTATTGAAAATTGCCATTTATAGTGGATTTACCCATTAAACATGGTGATTTTCCATAGTTATATATGTTAGTTTACCAGAGGGTATTAATAACTGTTGACCAATATCCATAGTGAGAGCGCGCAGAGCTGTCACAACCGGCCCTTGCTTTCGAGTCACGATTATGTGTAAAACTGTGTAAGTTGTATGTATTTGCTTATTTTATATTATAATATATTGTATTACAATGTATTACACTTATACAATATTGTATTATATTTTACTACTTTTTATATTACATTACATTATATTACATTACATTATATTACATTGTATTGTATTACATTATATTGAATTATTATTATTATTATTCTTCTTCTTCTTCTTATTATTATTATTATATATATAGGTGCCCGATCTGCTAGCTAGTTCCATTTCCAGCCGTCCTTCATCTTCTCCTTTAACACCATACCAAATGCTGACCTGAGAGGTGCAGTGTCAAGCGGAAAGTTGCTATGTTCAACACATTTCAACACCAAACATAAACAATGGATATGTTAACAACAAATGATATGGTTGAGACGAGATATGTATATATAATATTTATATATATGATATATATGTTTATTTGTTTGGCAAGTACAATTGGACCTGTACATTGCACCCACAAATTGTTCCATTGCGAATGTACCAGGAACACTTTGCGTTGACGTTCTTCAATTCTACCCCCAATTCATCAAATCATGTGAGTTCAACTGTGGTCTCGTCGTTGGTTCCCTTTAGCATCTACCAAAAAACAAATCCAACACGTATCGTCAATGGTGATATGGTGGGTATATACGTATCGTCGGCATAGATATCTTAACAAAAAATCAAAAAGAGCCTATTTTTTCTGGACGATCAAATATACCATTCCGTTGCCGTTGCCATATATATTTTATATACCATTCAATGTTGACTATACTTATATACATACCATATCATACCATATCACACCATTTTTGATAGGTAGATCATCATAAATCATCTATAAATGGTCCATTTTCCATAGCTATGTTAAATAACCAGAGGGTAATCAGCATCGCAACCGTTCCATTGCCATTCCGGGCCGCAAACGGCTCGCCGTCGAATCGCAACTGCCCCACTTGTTGCATGACATCTGCCTGGGCCATGGTGTTTTTGGACGGGGCATTCCAGATCATCCAGTTGAAGAAGATTGGTGATATAATCCATGGGGAAATAATAGGGATGGATAATAACAGTAATTATTATTTATATAATTAAAAATATTCCTATATAGATAGATAGATAGATAGATAGATAGCTAGCTAGCTAGCTAGCTAGGATAGATAGATAGATAGATAGATAGATAGATAGATAGATAGATAGATCATCCTATAATCTGGAATAATTGATGATGATTATAGGGAAGTCATAGAGATGTATAATATCATGAATCATAGAGATAATCCTTGTATGGGTGATATATACATGTTTTTTGCCGTATCACGGTATAATAACATCCTACGGAATACAGTAATCCCTATGTTATGGAAAAGGTGCATCATGTGAAACACGCCCAATCTGCTGTCACAAAGGCCGGCAGAACAATTTTATACCGGCAGAACAATAACTATAGTTTTGTTGGTACTATGGCCCCCAAGCGTCAAATTTTGGGACCGCGAACGACTGGGTTACAATGCAACAAACTATGGAAAACTAAGTCATCAAGTCGGGAGCTGAAACAACAAAATGTAGGCAGAACCAACAAAAAACAAGCCCATTTAGATTTTGGACATTTTGGTGAACAGCCATAAAATAAAACTTGGGCTCCATACTGTTGAGCCAATCCATGGGTATGCATCAAGAAAATCTTCAGAGACATGTTCATCATCCCAGTCAAATTAATCACCTACAAATGACAATAAGAGCTGCCATGCGCAATGTGCAACTATCATTTGGGAGTGTTGCTATTTCTTATAGTAACTAACCACCAAAAGGATAGAACAGTCGTTCATCACTATTTTCCCCACATCTTTGTGTGTGGGGTTCTTGTTTTTGGTTGTGCACTTCCGCCTGCTTCCGCCTGCCTTCCGCCCTCCCGCCCGTCGCCTGCCTCACACACAACTTGCTCACACACAACTTGTCCACACACAATTTACTCACACACAACTTGTCCACACAAACAACTTACTCACACACAACTTACTCACACGCAGCTTGTCCACACACAACTTGCTCACACAAAACTTACTCACACACAACTTACTCACACACAACTTGCTCACACACAACTTACTCACACACAACTTGTCCACACACAACTTACTCACACAAAACTTACTCACACACAACTTACTCCTACACAACTTCCTCACACACAACTTGTCCACACAACTTCCTCTCACACAACTTGTCCACACACAACTTGTATGCCCTTGGCGACATCGACCTTCACTTTGCGTGGCAGCCGTGGCACTTGGAGACATGGACGTGCATTCTGCGTGGCAGGCGTGCCCCTTATGGCACTGGGCTGGCTCTGGTGGCGCGCTTGGTTCCCAGTTGACGCCATGGGCGCCGCGGCTGTTTGCGTGGCAGGCGTGGCACTTGGCGACATCGACCTTCACTTTGCGTGGCAGGCCTGGCACTTGGCGACATCGACGTGCATTCTACGCGGCAAGCGTGGCACTTATGGCGCTGCGTGGACTGGCTCTGGTGGCACGCTTGGTTCCCAATTGACGCCGTGGGCCGACCTTCACTTTGCGTGGCAAGCGTGGCACTTGGCGACATCGACCTTCACTTTGCGTGGCAGGTGTGGCACTTGGCGACATCGACCGTCACTTTGCGTGGCAAGTGTGGCACTTATGGCACTGGACTGGCTCTGGTGGCGCGCTTGGTCCCAGTTGACATCGTGGGCACCGCGGTTGTTTGCGTGGCATGCGTGGCAGGCGTGGAACTTGGCGACATCAACCTTCACTTTGCGTGGCAGCCGTGGCACTTGGCGACATGGACGTGCATTCTGCGTGGCAGGCGTGCCCCTTATGGCACTGGGCTGGCTCTGGTGGCGCGCTTGGCGGCTGTTTGCGTGGCAGGCGTGGCACTTGGCAACATGGACCTTCACTTTGCGTGGCAGGCGTGGCACTCGGCGACGTCGACCTTCACTTTGCGTGGCAGGCGTGGCACTTATGGCACTGGGCTGGCTCTGGTGGTGCGCTTGGTTCCCAGTTGACAGTTGACGCCATGGGCCGACCTTCACTTTGAGTGGCAGGCGTGGCACTTGGCGACATCGACCTTCACTTTGCGTGGCAGGCGTGGCACTTGGGGACATCGACCTTCACTTTGCGTGGCAGGTGTGGCACTTGGCGACATTGACTTCCATTTGCATGGCAGGCATGGCACTTGTGGCATTGGGCTGGCAGTGTGGCACTTCGTCACACACCATCTTTGACACACCATCTTTCACACACCACTTTGTCACACACCATCTTTCACATACCACTTTGTCACACACACCGTCTTTGACACACCATCTTTCACACACAACTTTGTCACACGCCATCTTTCACCACACCATCTTTCACACACAACTTTGTCACACACCATCTTTCACCACACCATCTTTCACTCACCACTTTGTCACACACCATTTTTCGCGACACCATCTTTCACTCACCACTTTGTCACACACCATCTTTAACACACAACTTTGTCGCACTCTCTCTTTCACACACACAACTTTCACACACACACACACCATCTTTCACACATAACTTTGTCACACACACCATCTTTCTTTGCCACACACCATCTTTCACATACGACTTTGTCCCACACAACTGTTTTTACTTCTCGATCCTTCACCACCTCCTTTGTCTTTCCTTCCTTCCCCGTCCCGCTACAACATTTGTTGCTCCTTATTGGAAGAAGTTGACTTGTGGGGTTATCCGGTCCTTTAATTTTGTATTGGATACTACCTTTTTCTATCTTAACTTGGGAGTTGCTATTTTTGTTTAATATATATATAATATACATATGAACTTTTTATAAAACATCGTCACTTCAAAGCTATCTTGCAAAGCCAGCAAGCGACTGCTCAAAGAAACTTTAGACTTAACTGAAACCCTCAAGACACAGAAATACATGGTTGATTCACTATCGCTACCAGATAAAAAATGCTTGGCTCTTTGGGGTTGGCGCTCCAGGTCGACAACATCACGCTGGCTTCACCTGGAAAGTCGTGAACTTCTGCTGCAAATTGTCATGAAGCACTGAGTGGAGTTGCCTGAGCCGCTGGCAAATGTGGTCAAACATGGTCCAACATGGTCAAAAAACTGTTCTGTTGCTACTGAAAAGAACTCCAATCCTTTAACTTAGTGAACACTCATTGCGAGCGCAAAGCACACCATGAGCTTCTCTTTCCCTTCCCCAGCCACGAATTCAGACAAATCTGCAGCCAAACTGCATGACTTCTTGAAGGAACGCGGAGTCAAATCCTGCGAGTGCGACTCAAGTTGGGTCCATGTTTAGCACTGTCAGGTTTGGGTTAAAAGCACCTTGCATCTTGGGAACCTAGTGATTCTATCAAGTTTAAGACGACTGATATGTGCGGAATCCATTCATTCTATATGGTCCTATCATGTCAACTTGACATCTGCAGAAACCGTTGATTATAGTACCATATAAAGGAAATTACTATATGGTTCAGCCAGTTATATAGTACCATATCTCCAGTATTCTCCAGTACTATATGGTTCTATCAGCCAGTTGGAAAATTGATTCACCAGTTATGTACTGTACTATAATCAACTGGGAAATAACTATAGTTATGTATTATTATACATCTGGAGGTAGCTCAACTGGCTGAATTTGTTGGTCCTTCACGGCCTATGGCCTATGGGATTCGCATGGATCATATCGCAGTCCTGAAGCGCCCGAATTTGCGGCCTGGACGCGAATTCGTCACCAAATCGGTGCTGTTTAAAGGATCCCATAGGTGAATAATCAACCGAAATGTCGTGGAAAAGACAACAGAAATGAAAAGCAGATGATAACAACAAAGGAATTATAGGAATTTCATTGCAATGATTGCATTGGTTAGACACCAGCAAGTATTCCTTAGACACCTGCTGTAGGTAGACTTTTGCAGTGAGGATTTGTTGCCATGTCCAACCAGGATTTTCCATGTCTCTGACATGTCCAACGGTCAAAAAATCTTCTGGCGCTTGTGCTTTGGCTTTCCCAATGGGTAATTGGTGAAGAAACATTTACATTGGTGAACATTCATATAGCCATTGGTGAACATCAATGTAAATACAGACCAATAGGTATATTATACATGTTCACCAATGAATGTTCACCAATGACTAATGGTCACTGGTAAACATCATTCTAATGACCAATGACTTCGAGAAGTCCCTTCTCGAAACACCGCACCTCAGCACTTCGGTGTTTCAAGGTGTTGTCAAAGATCCCCACGAGTTTTTCCCACTGTCGCCTCAGGTCCAGCCAGGTCACCTGTGGTGACTTGGGGATCCGCCATTTCAAGAAACCCATTTAGAGGCGTACACATAAAGTATCCACAAGCATGTGTGGCATAGAATGGTGAACAACTGAACCTTGTCAAATTAACTTGCACAACGAAAACTCAGCCAAGGGCTCAAAATACGGATCACTGGGCCCACCACGTTTAAGTCGTCTTTGAACATTTAGTACAAAAAACAATACTAAACAGCTACCTGTAATACAAACATGGTCACAACACGAATCGATTCAAATTTAACAGTCATGATAATAAAACATCATAAAACGTACTTATAACAATAGTTATGTATATGTATGTATATTCATGTATATTTGTGTATATTTATGTACAAAAAAGTAGAACAGACATTATATAATGTTTAAGCATGGCCGAATCCGGCCCTCACCTCCTCTTCACCGAGACCCGGACCAATAGGCAGCATTTGCCTCGTCGACGCATGCCAACCTGGCAGGGGATGGCCACACGCCACACGTTGGATGAATAATTGGAATTACTTGGACATATCACTTGAAAACTTCCTAGAAACTCAGTTCATGATGGAGTTTGTTGATTAATCATTATTACATATATTATTAACTGAATTATGAATCATGAATTTCCAACTTAATAAGTTACTACTATTAATCCATCATCATCAAAATCATTAATGGTTGATATTTATATCACTTAATAACTTAATAATGGTTGATTAATCATGATTCATCCGGGAGGGAGCTTTTTGTTTGAGCACTCTGGTAGACTTCACAGATTCAACCAGGATTGAGGCCATAAAAAACACACAGGACCTGTGATATTTTGACCACGACCCTTCACCAATAAAGACTAGGGCCATCAACACGCAGAATCTAACGAATCAAAACTGTGTTGGGGGTAGCGTTATTTGAGCAGTCACGAAACAAGCGTTGGCTTTCAAACTGCAACGTCCATACATGCTCATACATGTACAGTACTGAGCAGTGTCACACACACACACGTAGGCAAGAGTGTCCCTGATTCATGGAAACACTTTTGGATTTCTCGATCTGCAGGTTTGTCGCAAGCCCCCTTGTCGAAGTTATGTTGCAATTGGATCTTACTGTTTTTTGTTCAACACATGACGTGACACATAAAAGCAACAACCCCTGCAGACCATTTAGTTCATCCTTTCACAAACCAATTCAAAACTTACAACATTCGACAAGTATAGATGATCAACATCCATGATCATCCATTCAACAACAAAAAAAACAGAAACCCAGTCCACGCCCTTTCGGACGGACTCCGAACCGCGGTTGCCGCCGGGCGTACCATGGCACGGCCAATTGGGCGGCCCCTTGGCTTTCCAAACGTCTCGACCACGTGCTGGGCATCTGTAGAAGCCTCGGGGTGATCGCGGAAAATTCTAACAAGTCACACTGAGGAGAAACTACGGTAAAATTGGATTGGTGGTATACCAAGGGTTTCAACCTACCCCTCTGAAAAATGATGGAGTGAAAGTCAGTTGGGATGATGACATTCCCAACAAATATGGAAAGTCATAAAAGCCATGTTCCAAACCACCAACCAGGATAAATTGGATTGGTTTCGACAAAAAACACCAACAGTTTCGACCCTAGGATCTTAGCATCTGTGATAGGATCTTGGGGGCCATAGTGACATAGCCCACACACTGGCAAATAGAAATCCAAAGTGAGTGTGATCTGGTTTCCACATATATCATGTATATATATATATTTAATTCTATATATTGTATATAATACATTATAATACAGTATAATATACATATATCTACACATGTGAAGCTACATAGCAAGACATCAAACGATACAAAAGAACATAACCATAAATCAAGCTCCTGGTGCCCTTCCATGGCACTAGCGAACTAGCCACCTCCATGGCTTCAGGGATTTCCCGGCCACCCATTTTTGATGACGGATTTATACAGATTTTATATATCGCATGAATTATTATCTCATTGCTATGCTATCCCAAGAATAATGATAGTAGTAATAAATATATTATACATGAAAACAAATACATAAAAACCGACCGAAATACAAATACATAAAAACCATACGAAACTACTTTCAACCATCATAATTTATCTCCAATTTAGGTAATATGTTTTAGCCCATCCCACATCTCAAAATTCCGTCGCTTTCGCTGATGTACCTGGTCGCATTGGACTCGGCGGCGAGCACAGCCTGGTGACGGCTGACGGGGCTGGCATCTTGCCGGAAAAAAAAACGTAAGGAGGAACCGTAGGGTCAGCCGTAGGACATGGCACGAAGGCTGGGTCGGTATCATTCTCATCCCGTGATGTCGAATTATTGACAACTCTTTAGCTGGACAAGTCATCTCATAGATTCCCTGGAGAATGCTTCGGGAAGTTGGAAACTCTGCTGAGGTACATAAACACGGCAGAAACCTCAACGGTTGTATGCCACAGCATTTTTTGGAATGACTGAATTATTATTCTTGCTTATACTTATACTTTTGATATTGCTGGCCATTTCTTTGGAGGTCCCTGACCCTTACAGAATTGAAACTACACGAGCAAAAACTACTGGGAAACAGGCAAGGTCGGCCAACTGGGTATGATTCGCCCAAAATACGAACAGCTTTGTCGGAAAATTGAGGGGAAACACCCTTTGTTTTGGTTGATCATCATTTACCCCATTAACATTGCCATATGGGCTGTATACTCCATGTTCAGTCAAATATATCGAATTGCTTATAATTCAACCTCATCAAATATCCCGTAACGTATCCCAATAACAATATTCAAAACCCATTATTTACAGTGTCTTATAGTAACCAATAGTTACCAACTGGTGCATGATTTCGCAACCATCCATAGCATATCCAACATCCATAATTATTATACCCAATTGCAATTTCACTAACAAATTCGGACTCACATTCTTATTAACATATTCCATCCACACCATATTGTGGATGGGCCAGCGAAATCCTGCATCACCAGATGGTGGAACCCCAAACAAAATCATGGAATGTTTACCATCTATCAACTGGTGATAAACGGATTTTCTTAACCATCCACAGTATGGTTTCCCCCAAGGTTTTCCCATCTTATGGGATGATCATCCAGGGTGTTCATTGACCCATTGGCCCATCATGGGATAAACCACATCCACTAGATTTCTAGTCCCCGTCCACAGTAGTATAAACCATAAACCATAACCAGATTTCTATTCACCACCCACATATCTATAGATGGATATCACCAGATACACTTAAGGGATATTTCACCATATAACCAAACATACCATAGATATAACCAGATACAGAACATAGATACTAACCAGAGCATAGTTTTAACAATAGATTAACCATGTAACCATATAACTGGTGATAAGCATATATTAACCATATAACCATAGTTATAACCATAGATTAACCACATAACCATATAAACCATAGTTTTAACCATAGATACTATATAGATACTATAGTTTTAACCATAGTTTTAACCATAGATACTATATAGATACTATAGATTAACCATAGATTAGCCATAGATACTATATAGATACTATAGATTAACCATAGATATCAACCATCCCTCACAACTGGTGATCAACGGATCCACATCCCTCAACTGCTGCAGGATCGCCTCTGATGGCCTGGAGGATTGCGCCAGCCCTTGGGGTGCCAGTGCTGCAGCGTCGTCCTGACACCATGGAAGTGCCGTGTTGGGATCATTTTTCCATATGCGTACATATATAATATATACACACATATAATGATATGTATATATACATACATATATATATATATCTATATATATGATGATGATATACATACTAATATATATATATATATAAATAATGATACATGTATATATATATATGTACATATAAATATACACATAGCAACCTAATGATATATATATATATATATACACATAATGATACATATATAATTGTATATATATATAATCCTCCGTAGAGAATGCTCATGAAAATGATATAAATGATCGGGGGTCATTCTCTATATACTGTATATATAATATGTAAATCAACATACAATGTTCATGCGGGTGTTTCTGACAGGAATAAAAAATATGAAACAACCAAACGCATTGTGGAATGCAAACCACTCCGGGTGGTGATGCTTCAGCAACAAAAGGGTTTTATAATGTTATAATTATATATATATATATAAACAAACTGGGGCGTAGAATATCGTAGAATCATTAGTCTTGGGAAAAGTGGTAGTGTACCAATAGAACTCGCACATAAAGACAGTCGAGCCCGCATTCACTGGCCAATTAAAGATAAAAGATCGAACAAGAGATCACATCTTCTGTCGTTTTTTTTTTCCATCGAATTGTAAAGCATCATACTTTTCAAACTGGGATGATCTACTAATGTTAGGAAAGCAATAGAATTCACAATCCCCCAATGTACCATTGTTATGGGTGGCATACACCATCAAATATGGGTGGTTTATGGTGGTTTACTGTTGCTTTACTAAGATTATAATGGGATGCCTTACTTGGAGGACCATCCCACTTAGTAAGTGGTTTATTATGTTTATTTTTGTTACTATCCATTTATAGACTTGCTGGAAAGGGGACTTACTAAGTACAACTCGCTCAAACTATAAGCACAACAAAATATAAAACCTATTATAGGCTTATAGGACTGTAAACTTACTAAGCACAAATAACCTGCTTCGGGGACTTACCCTCTGGTAAACTAATATAACTCTGGAAAATCACCATTTTTAATGTGTAAATTCACTATAAATGGCCATGTTCAATAGCTATGTTAGTTTACCAGAGGGTACTAAGCACAGCTCGCAAAACAGACGCCGTAGGTCGCACGTCCCGTCCTCCATGGGTCGCAGCAGCACAAAACGCACCACTTCTCCTTGGCGAAGCCCCTTCGGATAATGTGATGAAAGTCAAAGCCATTTTATGGTAACCTCCAAGCGAAGATGAAGCAGTAATCTAATGTAATTAAACTACAATACTAAAATAGTGATCACATGTGATCACGCTAATATTATTCTGCATCTTGGGGAGGTTCTTTCTTTGAGATGTATGAAATTGATGATAGAATGAACATGAATGAACAATATGTATACATATGCTACATATGTATATTATATATTATATATAATTGGTGGTGGCATTCAGAAATCCCAAAAACACGCCATCCAACCTGGAATCCCTGGAAATCCCTGAGACATTCCAAGAAACGTAGCAAGGGCCATGGAAGTGCCTTCACCAAGTGCCGCGTCGGCGTTCCAATGTGCATAACGAACCATATCGATAGTATTCGATAGCCCCTCCGTTCCTATGGAAAAAGTTTCAGTCATGTATATAAGTTATATAAGATTATAAGAGTGTTGGGGGAAAACAAGGAAAACACGTAGATTTTACGGCTTGAGGTGACTGAAGTCTTCTTCCAGCATATGGTATTTGGATGTATTTGGTACATTGCAAGCACCCACCAGCTCGACTGTCTGTGTGAATCAAGAGAGGTATGTACCTTAACGAAAGGGATTGTCCATCTTGATAAAATCCAGTGCATGTTGGGTTTCGGTTTCATGGGGCATCTGTGACCAAAGTTAGATGAAGGGAACAAATGCAGAAAAAAACCGTGATTACAGTATACCACTAGTGGATTAGTGGTAAAACTAAGATGGTTTCCTGCAACATTAAGTTTAAACCAACCAAATAGACCATCACTGAGGATACAAGAAGTCCTGCACTACGACCCGTGCTTAGAGCCATTTGCCCTGCCTCGGCCTCATGTGTCGCAGCACACACCTGCCACGGATGGGCCATGATGGGCCAGTTTATCGTTCGAGGCAAAATTACAAGCGAGAACCATCCAAATTCATCCAAATTCATCCAAATTCCACAAAAACTCGAATCGAACAGAATCATCAATAACTCAATCAATAACTCAATCAATAACCCAATCAATATTGATATTCACACAAGAGTCTGAAGCAACTCCAGCAAGTCCACCGACTGGACCAAGGCCATCTACAGTAGCCCCCTGGGCCCGGCCTGGGGCCACGCCTGCTGCATGGCTGAGAGTTGCTGAAGACGTGCAAAGCCGTCCACGTAGACACCCAGCAAGCCGACCTCGTTTTTGGATGTGAAGCCCCAAAAAGGTGCTGAAAAGATTGGGGATTTCCATATGTTTTCTGGTTTAATGAGTTTCCATATGTTTTCTGGTTTAATGGGATGGAATTTACTGGAATATAACAAGATATACCATAGATCCTCACACCAATAAAGTGGTTGTCGTTGATAAGCCTATACTTATAGTATTCAAAAGGTACTATAAGTCTCCCTTCCGTGGATTATCCCATTTCTAGATGGGTGAAGCTACTCCTAGGAAAAACCAGCGATAAATGTCATCCTGGGGTGATCCAAGTCGGCCTTCCCAGTGGAGATGTCCGGAGAGTTTTGGGGGATAACATCACATCTTTGTTCATAGAAGATTGGTGATGAATGATGAAATATTAGATGAAATATTGGTATACTGTAACAGTATAACATCTGTTGGAGATGAAATAGGTGATGTTCATTGATGTTCAAAAAACATGTTCCATGGTGAAAGAATATGATGGAATATGTCTCAACATCTAGACCCAAAATGACCCAGTCTTTTGTGTAAATAGGCAAAGCACTAGCTGGGGTCGGTTGCTGAGAAGTAGCAAAAATCGAAGATCATTTGATCCCACATATGGATACATATGGATGATAATCCTACTGGCAGTATCATAATCTGGGATAATTAATGAAGCAGTCTTATCGATAATGTGCTGAATAATCACAAATTTCATGAACTCTATGATTTCAAACTATGTCAAATATGATCATATGATAAAGGGCAAATCACGATGATGATCATATCAAATATTATCAAATATTATCACATATGATCAATTATATTATCGAATATTATCTTTATGAATTATGATGATCATATAAATTCCGATCTCTACTGCTGGGTTATGTTCAAAACCCAGGACGCACTGAACATCGGAGCTGCCCTCGGAGTCCATTTTTGGGATCATCAAACCCATTTTTGCTGAAAAACACGTTGCTGCACTTGGAAATGATGGGTTAAACATGGGTTGAACCAGATTAAACCAGGCTCATGTTATATGTATGTATATATATATATATATGTATATATATATATATGTATATATATATATATGTATATATATATGTATATATATATATGTATATATATATATATATGTATATATATATATATATATGTATATATATATATATATGTATATATATTCGCTAACATATTTGACAAAACTCCACTTGAGACTCTCAGCTGGGCACACCTTACGGATTTCACCAACATTGGATTTGACAAAGCTAAATTGGGGGGTTGTCGTTCACTGACAATCACCATATTGCTATCATCTAGTTACTCTCTGGTAAACTAACACAGCTATTGAAAATGGCCATTTAGATACCCCTTGGTTGCTCCTAGGGGGGGTCCAGCCCCTGAAATAGTAGACCCCAGTGGCTGTTTTCCAGAGGGGCCTGACCCCCCCATACCCCTTTTGAGCATTTCTGAATGGATAAAATCTAGGGGCCCAAGTCTAGCATTCGTAAACCAAACATTTTTGCTAACACTCAACTTGGACAAGGGAACCAATACTTTGGAGCATTTTGGACGTTCAAAAATGATCAAAGGTCAGGCCCCTCAAAATATTTTGGGCATGTTGTGAATATTTAGGACATACATGTTTTATCTGTGAATCTTATGAAACCATGGACCTCCTGGATTTTAGCCATCGATTTTTTCTGCATGCCTCAGATAAGCTGGCCACTTTGAAAGGTTCTCAACGGAGATAAAGTTGATAAACATGTCATAACTATCTTCCCAAGAACACAATTTCTGCGCACCTTTAACGCCAGTTTTCTTAGAGAGATTCATCTATCAAGGTTAGCTGGTACAGATGTTATTTTCAGGCTTCCCCTCCAAGTTTCAAGAGCAAAGATTGGACAAGGCGAGGTGTTAGTTTCCAGGATTTGGTAGCCTTTTTTGGAATCAATTTCAGTGTGTCCTTGATGTGCAGGAGACTTTGTTCTGGATTTACTTTTAACAAATATGATAAAGGCAAACATTTCAGAACTGTCCCAAGTAAATAAACTTAGTGCAAGTTTTTTGACGCCAATTTTGCAGAGAGGTTGATATCTCAAGGTTGGGCACACAGGTTTTATTTGCTGGAACTGAAGATGGACAGGGTGAGATGCTAGTATCCAGGATTTGGTTGCGTGCTTTTTGAGATCAATTTCAATATTTGTCCTTGATGTGAAAGTTCAACAAAGAATGACGTTCAAAAGAGATAATATTGACAGGGTTTCCGTGGCGCGAAAGCTGATAAACATGCCACACGTTTCCCAAGAAAAAAAATGTGCACCTTTGGTTGATGCCTGTTTTGCAGAGGGGTTCATCTATCAAGGTTGGGGACATGGATTTTACTTCTTCTTGGTTTTTTTCCTTCAAGCTTCGCCCCGCTAGGTCGAAGCAGCTATCCGGGAACAGAAGAAGCACAGGATTTGGCAGCCTTTTTGTTTGGGTCAAATTCAATATTTTCATCTCAAAGTTCAAAAACAATAAAGTTTCAAGGTGAGGAAATTTGTAACGGTGAGTTTGATAAACATGCCAGCAATGCTCAACACAATAAATTTCATGCACCTTTGTTACAGTTTGATGCCAGTTTTGCAGTGGAATTCATCCATCAAGGTTGTTTTTTTTCCCTTTCCAATCCAAGGTGTAGGTTGGACCTAAACTGAAGGGGGCTGGCATCTGAAAGTAAAATAGATACCAAGCCTCGAGTAAGATAAAAATAAAATTCAAAGGCCCAACCTTCATAACATCAAAAGGCCTAACCTCAAGCTGGGATCAGATAAAATCCAAGGGTCTCGCCCCTCTTGAATCCTCTTTGGAATCGAATGCCCTTGAGGGGCCCTGGGGGGGCCCTGGGGTCGGAGCCCTTGGAATTTATCTCACACATAGGGCCACGATAAAATCTAGCAAGTGTGCTGCTAAAATCTGGGGCCCAACCTTCAAATTTACTCAAAAAACTAAAACGTATATTCTGCACCTCAGGGGCTGGAGCTCCTAAATCTCGTTGGAACTGCAATCAAAGTAGGTTGGAGCTAAAATCAAGGGGCTGAACCTTTGAAAATATAAGATAGGTACCAAATCTCAAGTAGGATGAAAATAAAATTCAATGAGCCCAACCTTCCAAAGATAAAATCAAGGTGCCTGACCTGAAATTGGAGTGAGATAAAATCCAAGGGGCTGGACCCCCCCCATGGGTCCTCCTTGGAAGCGAGTACCCTTGAGGGGACCTAGGGGGGTCCAGCCTCTTAGAATTTATCTCACACTTATGATCGAGATAAAATCTAGCATGTCTGCAGATAAAATCAAGGGACCTATCGTCATTTTTACTAAGGCTAAAAAAAAATAGCCATGCACCCCAGGGGCTGGAGCTCCTAGATCTCAGCTGGGAGCTACCAACGGGGTTCATTTAGTTCGTTGATTTACCCGTCAAAAAACTGGTTTTCCATAGTTATGTATACGCGTTTACCAAAGGCTACAGTTATGTATGGGATATCCCCAATTATAGTGAATATCCATCATATATCAAAATATGGGATATGATATGAAATACTATTATCATCTATTATCATTATCCCATACCCATAGAATCCATGTATGGTATATATAGTAACATTGGGGTATATTGATGGTAAATGTTACCATATATACCATACATGGATCCTGTGGGATAACTACTACAGTGACTGAAACCATCATATCCCATTCTTATCCCATCTCCAGCAACCCAGGCGCCGCCATGGACGCCCGCTGATTGGCCGTGGCTTCATCCACCTCCGGGGCGGGCTCGCACAGAAATCCCATGGGAAATGGCCCATAGAAATAGATGATTTTCCCAGCTAGAAACCTCCATTTATCTGTGTGTAGCTGAATATATTGCCCTCTGGTTATGACTAATATAGCCATGGTTTTTCGATGGCCCTAATCGAAATAGATGGTTTACCGAACTTAAAAAAATCTTAAAAATGGGTGGATCTTTCCATGGCGAACTGTTAGACATAACCAGATGGTATATGGCACATATATCGGGATTTAACTGATCTAACCAACAACAATTTGGAAATATCGTGAACAACGATGGAAAGTTTTAGAATATTTACATGTTTTTACTATATTTTGATGGATGATTTGCAATGGGGTTTAACCCAATAAATATATGTAAAATCTCATGGGAATATAACCTGTATATGGTTTATATATATATATATATATGTGTGTGTGTTATGTTTATTCACCAACAAATATATGGGGAGTATAATGGTATATGGTAATATATAGATTCTTTTTTTACGGATGATTTATGGATGATTTACAATTGATATGTTTATTCGTGAATATTCATGGCTATCAATGTTCAACAGTTTACACTGGATGTCGAAAACCCATGTTGATATACATATATATATATACATACATATATACTTACATATAATTATATATATACATATAATTATAAACTGTATATGTGCAAGTCTAATGATTATTCGGTTCTTCTGTCTGGGTCTGGATATTTATGTGCAAACTAGTTTCCAATAGATTATTGATAATTTGAAATACATATCAATGAATATATCTTCTGTTTATTGAATACAGTCACAGTTCTTGAAACACACCCAATACGTACTAACTAGTATCAAAAACAAAACGCTGTATTGCCAGGTTTGATCATGCTTGATGAGTGGCGGAAAAGTCACCGGGATAGACAGCACAGTAATCGTATCCATCCCGCATCTATGGGGTGACGATTGAGGTCACCGAGTGTCAAACCTCGGAGTTCCAAAGATTGGGATAGATGATGTATATTAAACTGGGATACATTGGGTTTTCATGTGTTTCACAATGTTTATCAACATATTCATTTTGAGCCATTTCTGCACGACAACAAAAAAGGGTGTGTCATCATCAACATCAACTGCTTGGCTTGGTGGTTTTAACCCATCCGAAAGTTATCTCAATCGTCTCAACCAATCATCTCAACTATAGTTGAACCACAATAAACTAAGTTATCCCCAAGTTATCCCTAAAATTTAACTTTTTAACCATAAACTGACCACGGCCTATGCGACCCATCCCATCGTGGCTTCGGCTTCGACCTGAGCACCGCTCTTTCCATCACCGATGATGTCCAACAGCTTCGCAGCCAGGGCCGCTAAGGCTGCCTGGGCATCGGGATCCTCCAGAATCTCAGGAGGGTCCAGTGGAAAAACCCGTCGAAATCTACGGCCAGAACGGGGATGCTGCCCAGGGGAAGTGAGTGTTTTTATCGGCGCAGTCAAAATGACATGGATTTTCACCAGGGCCTGTGTTACTCCCGATGAAATCAATAGATTCGCTGGATTGGTTGAAGGGAAAATCTACGGGAGACCATCGTTTTTCTCCTCAAATCCAGGGGGGGTCATGCATTTGTTTCCTTAAACCAATCCAGCGATAGATACACAACACGACGATGTGATTGCCATTTACTATTACTAATCAGTTTAGTAATTACTTTTTAGTATATAATGATAAACACATATAAACACTGATTAAAACAACACACAAACACACTACACAACCAAACTTTATGAGGCTAAGAAAAGAGCGATACCAATAATCAGCGTTCATCTGACTGGCCAATAGGAATAGAATGCTGACAAGGCTTCGAAAAGCACTGCTTTTAGGGATGCAATTTGGGAATTATCTTACTGGTGCTTAGCAGGGAATGGATGGGAATGGGGAAATTGGATTGATTATCATTGATAGTTATTGTGGATCATTCCCTCATTCCCTACTAAGCACAAGTAAGTTATTCACATCGTAGATTCTCTTTGTTTTCTAGGCAAACAAAGACCCTGACTTCCCAATGTCTGCATGGAATTTTCGAAGAAAATTCATCAGAAATTGTACTCACCGTTATCGGGGTTCGTTAAGATATGAAGATATCACCCCCAAAAAATACCACTGGAAAATATCTCCGCATGGCTAGATATGAATTCTATACCAAAAAAACATATCCATTCCTCGCCAGGACTGGATGGTAGGATGCTATGTACGAAAAAAGGCAATTAGGCACTTGTATCATGGACACATGCGTTTCATCCCCCGTTCATAAAAGGTTTACATTGTGGTTGATAATCCTTATTTACCAACCAGATTCGTGTTGTTTCCATTTGTTTCCATATACCCTAGGGTAAACTAACCTGTGGAGCTTACCCATGTAATTAGATCATTTTCCAAACAAACGCCATATCATCATGCTTTTTCCTTATCTTTGTTGTGTTTACCCTCGGGTAAAATGTCAAGATTCCGCAACCATCTCCGCCTTGACAGTGGCTGCTACCAAGGCAGGTGGTGAGTCCTGGTCAGCGTCACGGCGGCTGTGGTTCACAAACGGAATTTTGACATTCCAATATTGAAACAATCATAGGGGTTAAAATTTCATAATGAATTAGTCAATGGGAATTCCAGGATCCTAAAATCGAGGTACCGTACCATATAAGGCCATTGAATTAGGGGTAAAATTGACATTCCAACATTTCAATATGTTCGAACATTCCAATATTGAATTCTGACATGTGGCTCCAAAAGTTGGAATCTTCAGTTTTCCCCGGGGTGAATTTTGACCCTAAACAAAGGAGATCACGTGTTGGTCCGATCCTGATACTATCCCCATATTTCTTGGCAGAACCAGCATGTTTTCAACCATGTTCAGCTCATTAAAAAAGTGATATGCTTAAACATTCGAAAAATTGCATTATATTATATAATTTACTTGTGTGCAAATATATATACACATTAAACAACTTTAACTACAATATGATGATATGTATATATATAAGTATGTACATATATGTATATATCATTTTGGCATTACATCAAAGACAAATAGCATGATGTCATCATAATCAAAATAAAAAACATCATCAACGACTACCATCACCAATATAAAATCGAAATAATCATTGATAATGCCAAAATGATTGTGATTATAATTAATACTTATCACCAATAATGCGTACCACTACCATTAATCACCATTAATCCACTACATCAATCATTATCATTAATCATCATTTTTTAATAGTGATAATAAACATCATCAAAGACTATTATCAAAATAATCATCATTAATCATTATCGGTAGTATAGTGATAATTCCAATGATAAGCATTAACTATTTATTGGTATAATATCACCATTTAGTGGAATTATATTCCATTACATTTGGTTGGTGGCCGAAGGAAGTTTAGAAGTCAAACTTCCGACAATATGGAGAGATGAAAAAGCAGTCAGCAGGGAGAAGAGTCAGAAGAGAAAAGATCAGAAGAAAGAAGATTCAGGTGCGCGAAAAGGTAGGAAAGTCGCGAAACACTGTGTTTTTTCGTGGTTTTGATGGTTTACCTATTAAAAATGGTGATTTTCCATGGCTATGTTAAATAACCAGGTAGTAGGGATTTCATTGTTGTTTGGGGTACCATTTTTGGCATGGTAGTGCGTATGTGAAATTCATCTACAATCAGATAATATATGATCATATAATATAATATTATATAGACACATAGACATGTGCAAACAATTTTAGATGGTACCCTCTGGTAAATTAACATAGACCCTGGCAGTTGTCGGGGTTGGAAGACTAGTGTCCATTAAAAATTGATGATTTTCAGGGTCTATGTTTATTTAACAGAGGGTAAATCCATTGTTTTTGGAAGTTTGGTTCCACTAAAGCACCGAATTCCGCCACGAACAAACCGCAGATCCTCGGAGGCGCTCGCCTCCAGCGCCTCGCAGATGGGCGGTTGACCATGTAGTTGACCATGGGCAAAAAAACGATGTTTGACCATTGGCTATGCATATTTATATATATGCAAATATTCGTCATAGTTGTACCAAAAAAGTGGCCTTCAGTTATGTTTGTAGGTTTCGATTTCCCTTTATTTTTGAAGATAAGATAACTAACCCGCATAAACCCTACTAATCGGAATTATTATAAGCGAACTTAGCTACCTATGTGGCACCCTGTTAATATGAATCAAAACTGCTTACCCAAAATGGGACGATATATATCCACAAATTCGAACCACAAAGCTTGGATTGCAAGCAACAGCAATGGTGACTTGAAAAAAGATAAGTGGTGATAGAGCCAACGGATGATTGTGGAATATTGTGGCTTTAGCGTCAAAATGCTCACTTAGATTTGACCAGGAACATGATTTTTTTTTTATCAACTGATGATACATGATTGGTTTTTTGCGACACAATCATTATCATTGAATGAATATCCATTGATCATTGAATGAATGTCCATCTCTTACGAATTGCTCCATTCACTACAATAATATTAATAACTATCAGAGTCAAAGAAATATATCATATAATAATATATATATATATAGAGATTGGCAAATGATACATCGTTATATCCCAATCGATCAGAAAATCATTAACTGTTAAACAAGGCCATCCTCGTTGCTCAACGAACAAAAAACAAACCCTCCAAGAGGTCACGGAGCAAGTCTACGCAAGCGCCAGCTGTAGATCTGGATCAAGTAGACGAATTCCTCATTGATAAATAGTTCTACTTCAATTAGTAGTTCTTAGGAAAAATTGAATAGTTCTACTAGGAATTCCTAACTATCCTTGTAGCCAAATTGAATAGTTCTACTTCAATTAGTAGTTCTAATTATGATTCGAATAGTGCCAATTCATACTAATTCAGAATTCAATAGTTCAAGCAAAATCGTACTACACGTGATTCTCATAATAACTATAGTCAACATAGAATATCATGTACCCACCTGTGCAAAGCTTTTGTATCTGACTATTTAGAATATAAAAGCCATCCCAATTCCAGTACTTGGTATCACCAATGGTTTGCATCAATTATAATATATGTATAGCCTCAAAACTATACCCTCTGGTTATGACTAACATAGCCATGGAAAATCCCCAAAATAAATGGATGATTGTCCCACTAAAACCTCCATTTATAAGGGATTTTCCATGGCTATGTTAAATAACCAGAGGGTAATATAGAAAACTTCAAATTTATATAAAATATATACGTCAAAATTGAACCTATTGTATGTAATCGTCTTCGTATTTTTCAATGAGCAGGGCAAATGCCGCCAACCGAGCCAACCTGCAACAGTGGCCAGCGCTCCTCCAACGCCTAGAGAGGGATGAGGCAAGAATGGAGGTAAAAGCCATAGATATGATATAACATGTATATATGTATATACACATACATATCTATATATAATTACACATAAAATATATTAATATAGAATATGTATACATACATTATATATATATTGATTGAAACCTACGAAAAAGTGTTCCCATATTCAACAAGTGGATGACAATCTCACTGGCTGAGCCCACTAATTACACTTTGCCAATCCCAGCCATACGGGATCTAGGGATGCAAAGAAACAGTTTCACGGTAAGAAACCAGCAAAACGGCAAAACTTGTGGTATTATTAACCACTATCCTGATCATGATCATGGTCATAGGTAATAGTTAATAATAGTGATTAACCATGGTATTATTGTGATTCTAGCAGTTTCTTCCCCATATTCCAGGGCCGAACATATTCCATGCCAAAATAGCTGGGAAATTTCAGGGAATTGCGAAGACCCCTTTCAGGTGAAATTTGTACTTCATACAGTTTGCCAAGTACTCCTTTTTTTCTGGCACGTACGTTGTCGACTGCACATGTTCTTCCCCAAAGACGATCCTTACTTTCAACAAATTCTGGAAATGTCATAATCAATAATGTTGAGCTTTCCAAAAATGGATTAATAATGTTCTTTTTGGAATTTGTCATCTACACTTTTCAGAATCTCAAAACCCAATTCATAAGCTTTCAGCTTATGTTCTGGCACGCTTGGCTGGCCTTTCACCAGCAGCGCCATCCCCATCTTTCTTGACATCTTTGTGGCCCCGCAAAGAGCTCTGCACAACAGGATCTGGGAACACAAATCATCGACGATCCTGTTTTCTTCCGTGCAAATTAATCCCACCGATAGAGTACGATGCCACCCCTGGAGTGCGCTAATTTTCTGGAATGCGAAAATAAAACCGTATGCGTGGCCCCCTTCGGTCCCCTTCGACCTTCCCCATGGATCCAACACCAGTTTTTTTCCATCATATACCAGAATTTTTTCACATTTTTTTTGGGCCAAAATGGCCTGGAATGCAATAGTATGTAAAACTACAGACGTCTCACGCGAAAACTCCATCTTCCCCATATTCCAGAAATCGTGATTCCAGGCGATTTTAGCCAAAAAAAAAACAAAAAAAAAAACGAAAAAACAGTTTCATTCACCGAAAACGAGGATTTTATGGAGTGCGCAGATCTTGCCGAGCGCGATGATTTGAGGGTATGTGTGCCTCCCCAGCTGTGGAATGCGATGGCGTCGCTGGAGTGCAAAGAATTTGTGGAATGCGAAGAATTCCGAGTATGCGTGGCTGGTATAGAGACCACATAGGGAAATTTCGGGGCCAGAACCAAAATTCTAATCCCAAAGCCAGCCCAAACTTCCAGGGGCACACCAGTGGGTTCTATTTTTCCGAGTTCACCTTGGGTGAGGCCCCGGGGAAGAAACTGGCTAATTTTTACTCAGCCAACCTTTAAAAACGTTACCTTTGACAACCCTGTCCTTCTTCGGTAGACAAATGAGGAAACTCCCTTATCAAAGCAGCCTTCAATTCATCCAATGTCCACAGCTGCTTTGGAACGACATAGGGGATAGAAAGCTGTGGAGGGGCATTCAGTGGATTCGCCATGGCCCAACTGTTCCCTCCAGATTGAGCTGAAATGCCTATCAAAGTAACATACCACAACCCAGGTCTGGAGTACGATGAAAACATGGTATGCGAAGATTTTCTGAATATGGGAATGTTGCCTCTAGAATGATCATGGTATTCTGACCATGGTAATATGATCATATTTGATAACCATAGTTAACCACGATCATAGCATGGGAAATACCATGGCTAAGAGTGGTTTATAGTACAAAACTCGAGCAATAACCATAATCAGCTCCATGGTTGACTGGAATATCCCCATATATCCCATGTATACGGGAACCAAAAAAACTCCATGGCTAGGCTGCTGTGACTTGGTCGCTTTCTTCCACCCACAATTGCGAGGATGCCCACTTTCTTTTTTTCTTCTTTTAGTTGTTTTTTGTTGTTCTTATATACATATATACATATATACATATATACATATATACAAATATACATATATACAAATATAAATATATACCTATATACATATATACATTTGTACATATATTTACATATATATATATATATACAAATACATATATACATATATACATATATACATATATACATGTATACATATATACATATATACATATATACATATATACATATATACATAAATACAGATACACATATATACATATATACAAATATACATATATACAAATATAAATATATACCTATATACATATATACATTTGTACATATATTTACATATATATATATACATACACAAATACATATATACATATATACATATATACATATATACATGTATACATATATACATATATACATATATACATATATACATATATACATATATACATAAATACAGATACACATATATACATATACATGTATACATATATACATATATACATGTATACATATATACATATATACATATATACAAATATAAATATATACATATATACATATATAAATACATATACATATATACATATACATGTACATATACATATACATATACATATACATATATATATATATTAGTAACCGTCATATCGTCAAGCTGGCTACATACTCGCTTGTATCCAAACTATGCAGTAACTTCGCAGAATATCTCGTACTGGGACTTTTTTTTGTGGTATAATATGACTCAATATACATATAGATCATTATAGATCTATATAAATGTTCTGTTCATGTGTCACAAACATATGTTTTTGCGGCGTTTTTTTGGGAGGATTCCCCCGTCCAGTGAGGTCACATAATGAACGGGTCACGTCGTGATGGATTTGTCATCCAGTTTTTCCCCACCTGCCAGGTGAGGGTTGTTAGATTTTATCAGAGCTGTTCTCCTCCTCCTCCTCCGCCTCCTCCGCCTCCACCTCCGCCTCCTCCGCCTCCTCACCCGCCGCCTCCTCCTCGCAGTCCAGATCCCAGTGGGCACTGCCGGACCTCCACCGCGAGCTCCCGATCCCAGTGGGCACTGCCGGACCTCCACCGCGAGCTCCAGCAGATCCCAGTGGGCACTGCCGGACCTCAACGGTTGCAGTGGGCACTGCCGGACCTCAACTGCGACTTCCGGATCGCAGTGGGCACTGCCGGACCTCAACCGCGACTTCCAGATCGCAGTGGGCACTGCCGGACCTCAACGGGAAGAATGTGAGAAAAGATGTCAAATAGAATGTCAGAAGATATGCCAGAAAGTATGTCAGAAGATATGTCAGATAGAATGTCAGAAGATTTGCCAGTAACAAAATGTATAAATGTCATGGTGGGGATCACACGAAGTAAAGTATTTTTTTTGATGATGTACAAGCCATAGTTTTAAAACTGGTTATATTAATGGTGCTACTGTATATAAATAATTATAAATATACAATACATATTATATATACATATATATATATTTATACTGTATACATTGTGACTAGGATGATATATTCCAGCTAAGATAACCATCATGCCAATAAAACTCCTTAACGATGGAAACCCATAAATAGCACAACCGCCAATTGTCTATGCAACCCATGTATTGTGATTTTGGGGATGGCTTTCTATTGGGTTTCCCACATTAGCCCATTTCATTTCAACCACTGGTAAATCTTCATTTCCTTCTAATTTCATGGCCAGATGTTTTTCAGGTCAATCCCATCCAATTTATTATTGAAAGCCATGGTTTTGCGGCACAACCATTGTAGGAAACCTCCATTGATCCGGGTAAAATATAGTAAATAATTCACTAAGCTGAAATAAGGCCATTCCCCTCAACAACTACAATGGTAGTGGTGTTCACAATCATTTCTCTTACCATCTGGTAAACGTTTACATAACTAAGGAAAATCACCATTTTCTAGCTGGGAAAATCCACTATTTCGACTGGGCCATTTTCAATAGCTATTTTGACATAACCAGAGGGTACTAATCATGAGTTCCAGGTCCCTGTGAGGTCACTCGACTCCATTCTCCATGGTGACCTTTTTCGTTTCGCGCCTGCGTTAGCGCCTGGAACGTGGCCTGCGCTGCAGCCGCCACAGCCGCCACGTCGCCCGGCGACAATTTCGCGTCGCGGGCGCCCTGGCGCCGAGTTGTTCCGCCAGGTTTTGAAGGATAAAACGAGCATGAATTGGATGAATCCTGCACCAGTTGAGGGATTTATCATGTTGTATATGAGTAGTTTGTTCAGGACCTCATTTATGTTTATGAAACTACTGCTGTTTATCAGGACCTCATATAAAACAATCCTTTACCCTGGATTTATCCCAGTCGTTTGTTTTTATATGAGTTCCTGGGGATTTTGCATGGGCCTATTTCACACCTCACCTTTTAATCCACTGGTTTGGAACATCACTGTTTGAGTTGGATTGATTTGGTATAAAATATTTTTCACCCATACCAATACTTTGTGTAAAATCATGATAGCGAGGAGACATATCGGAGTCTTTGTTGGTGTAAAACCGCGTTCAAGCTCCGGGAGGGAAATATATGGCGAAACAAATCTACTCAGACCCTCAATTGACTCATAAACATCGTGTTTCTTAACATGAGTTTTGCACGTTTTCGTGTTCTTATGGCTACTTTTTGTTTAGACACGAGAGGTGTTTTGTGGCTAGGCATGGCTACGCTATACAGTTGGATGGGCTCAGAAACCCTCAGAAACATCGGGTGTACCACGTTTTAGGCTTGGGATGGATTGCCTTGGCCACCAAACGTGACGCATGACGTTATTAGATTTTGACCCATCGACCCACGGTGTGATATTTTTATATATTTTTCATGTATCCAGAAGATTCCAGAAGATGATCTGTATAACTTATGCAACTCACTCAAAAAGGGATTATGAATCAGCTGGCAATGTGGCCAAATCAATGCCTCACTAATTGTACGAATGTAGATCCGAATGTACGAAACTCTGATGGATGCATTAAACATTAAACCCAACAGAATGCAAGCTTATATACCCTCTGGTAATCAAACGTGGCAATGACCAATCCCATAGAAAAATGGAGGTTTCTACATGGGAAATGATGGGAACATCATAGAACTATAGCTGGGCGATGTTCCAGCCATGTTTGATTACCGGATGGTGTAGTCACCAGCTAACGAACCGTGGCAAGCTGCGGTTCAACCTTCAAGGGCTTACTGAAAAACTGGGACATCAACGGATATCAATCACAACCTTCATTTGTTATGTTCCAAACTTCTACAAGGTGAGAACCCCTAGATAATTAATTAACCAAATTGACTTATAACTTGGTCAACTACGCCTAACTCATGTTACCTATAACATACTATAACAGACTATAACTATGGTTTATGATTAGATATAGTTAATGGATATGAATCAATGGCTTTGTCATTGGGGGCCTCACCTTCCATGTACCAACCACTCACCGAGATTCCTCCCGCCTGGCTACTCCACGCGCGCTCACAGAGCTCCAACAGCACGCTGTTGGCGATGGAGACTGACGAAGCCCGCTGAGCAAATTCAACTGTTGTGAGTTCACTTTTGAGTTCACTGTTGTGGGGCTTCTATTCCACTATGACGGGTAAGAAAAAAAACAAATTCCACAACAGTTCACTTTTGACTAGAGAAAAAATGTGTGTGGCTGTGAACATGAATTCGACTATGGCATTCACTCACAGATCATACAGGTTTGGAACCAGTTGAATAAGATATCCAAACGTTTATATATTCTATCTGCTACCGGCGCAAACAAGGGGATCACAATTACTCAGTAGCCTGCAGTACAATGACACAAATGATGTGCCGCAATAAAGTTTTACGCTGGTGATAGTCATCCTTTTCTACAAGGAAGATCAAGGAAATCATGATTCGTGGCTTAAACAGCTGGTCCCGTCCCGAAATGCATGACTCATTTCGCCGCAACAACGGTACCCTATTTAGTAATCTAAGATAGCAAAAGATCCAGCCCTGCATGCCAATGATTTCACTGCTGAACATTTTGGTATCGTCCATGCAGAATTTTTTGGTACGCAAATGTAGTAGCCTTTGCTGTCCACAGCTGCTGTGCCTGCTTCCTCTTGTCTCTGCATGCCATGGAAGACCTGCGAGAAAATCCGTTGTGTCCAGTTTTTCGACGTATTCTGAATAGGCACAAACGGTGAAACATTCATAGGGATTGATATTACTCAATATGAGGATACCCATGATAAAATGGGTGGCCATAAAGTATATATATTATATATATATATGTATACATATATATGTATATCATCTTTTGACCATGACACACAGAATGTTCTGCTGAACATAATTAAATCAGGTGATCGGATTGACTCACCACGTTTATCGACCTCTCTATAGATTCACCAAGCCGTGGAACAAGGGAGCTGCGTACGGAAACATTTTCTTTGGGAAATACATGAAAATACAGTCGATCCTGATGATGAACCATCTTTGAATTTCAACCCAATTGCTCCACATGCAATTAGAAAGATGTACTGTAATATCGATTACCACCTGGATTTTTAACATAGCCATGGAAAATCACCATTTTTAATAGGTAAAACATCTATTTCTATGGGCCATCTATACCATGGCGAACTGTTAGTCATAACCAGGTTGGGTAATATATTCAGCTACACACAGACTGAACCCCGCCACCACTACATGACCCAGCTCGACTCACTATATGGTAACCCCTTGGAGAAACGATGTCGATAACTGTTTTTTGTCACTAGTAGAGATGATCAACACTGTAGTAATCCATTGCATGGTTGGACGTTCATTGAAGGTAAAGTATAGTAACCACTAACCACGAATAAATACAGAAATAGGTTCAGTTCAGCAAATTATCTTAGCAGGAGCAATTGCTTTTCCTGTCATTCTTTTGCGAGCTGCTATACGAAGTGGAGAAATGTCCATTTCAATCCCCTATCCGATGACATATCCCATGAAATTTAGTTTCCAATACAATTCCCCATCAAATTTGGATGGTTTTGGATGTTTTTGGCTAGATCTCATCAAGTCCCCAAAAAGATCCCCCAAACATATATCAGAACATCACCTCAAATCAAGGTCAAATCCTGACACACATCGCCATAAATCGCCATACATTGTCAAATCATTGAATCCAACTTTGTCTGAAAATGGGATATACCCTCTGGTTATTTAACATAGCCATGGTATAGATGGCCCATAGAAATAGATGGTTTACCGGTTACCGTTTTACAAATGGTGGATCTTTCCATGGCTATGTTAAATTACCAGAGGGTACCCCAAATGCCGCTTAAAATCGAGGGAAACTAATCCAACTAAACCATTCGAATTTTTGGGGTATCCTAGTCCCAAACAAAGCCACATCTATCAAAAATCTCATATCTCTATAATTCCCCAGCAGGAATTCCCAGGGTTGTAACACATCCAACCCAACGAAATCGATTTCCCATGGTTTATAACCTAAATGGATGTTACATTTCCCATGGTTTATTATAATCTAAATGGATGTTTAAAAAAACCTAAGTTATGACCTAAATGCCAATCTAACCATTGTAATATCCCAAGGTCATAAAACATCTGATTATGACTAACATAGCCATGGAAAATCACCATTTTTAATTGGTAAACCATCTATAAATGGGCCACTTTCCATGGCTATGTTAAATAGCCAGAGGGTAAATCCGCATGATTCTGATAAATCCCGCCTAAATCCCAACCCCGAGCCTCGCTACAGGCCCTCAACTCCTCTGCGCTATTTTTCTCCAGCGCACTGCGCGCACGGCGCCGGGCAGAGAACAAGAGCTGCTCCTGAGGGGTGAAGCGCCCTTTGTGAAGCGTTCAACGTTGACCAAAACCGGAAGAGATCTTCTTGAGAATCTATGGGATTTCACTACTCAAAGTGAGCGGTTAACGGATTGATTGGATTTTTTTTTGGTTTTACTACAAAACACATTAGAAGTTGTGTAGGGTGATGTTTGAAATTGACATGAGTTCAACTACTAAGACATAACATATGTTTTTATAGGGATTTATGGGGATCTCACAACTCAAAATTGATGGAGGGAGAAATATGAACATATGTGAAGTGATCATGGTCAAATAAAGTTACGATTACCAGCAAAAAAATGGAACCAACAAATATCGAGATAAACACAGAATGCACATCAATACGTAAACATGGACTAATTTGACATCCATCTGGATGTCAGCATGGCCTAGGACAGATTCAACAAAAGAACGCTTCGAAGTGGTCTGCAAATGTCAGTGAACCTAGCTCTAAACAGTCAAAGATGAGGACTGACATCTTCTATTAACATGAAAAGTAGCTGATTGAGTAGGGTGCTGTCACATGGAGACGCGAGACAGCGAGGAAACTATGCGGCTACACAACTATACTTCTCTTTTGCAACAATTCTCTTAAGTTGGCAAAGTGTATTCACAATTATATATCAATTTGTATCCCATCATCTAAAGGGTCATTTCAAGCATAAAGCATTACAAACCCAATGTTGGGGGTATGAATACACATATATACTAATATATGTCGTGTATATATATATATACTAATATCAATCTATACATATATATATATATATACATATATAAATACTAGTATCAACATATTATAAATATATATATACTGATATCAATATATATATATATATCCCCTAACATCAGCCATATATATGGTCCTCGAATTCAGGTTCCCCAAATGGCCACTGATCATATCCAATCATATCCCCATAGACCTGTGACATCCCCCATATCTTCGCCGAGCGCGAGCAAAACTGTCCTGGAGTTGGTTCAGCTGTTCCGATTTCCGTGCGAATTCGGGTAACATCCTGGTCGATGGGTCCCAAAGTCATTCCTCTTTTCGAGAAATGGAACTTTTAAGGCTCCAAAAAAAAACATGGGTGTAATCAACAATCATGTGGAGTTAATAAACATGATAATAGATGATTTCATAATCTATATCTAATAATCTTGAACCAAGAATTGCAGTGGATATAATATTGGTCTTCGAGGAACATGTTCGCTGCAACCCTGACATTGAGCCGCGTCTGACTTCAGGTGGCTACGAAGATAAAGCTGATATTATTACCCCAATCAACATAATATTGTTCATCGGGGGTGGCAAATTTTGATCCCTCATGGAGATATAGTTCATGTTATTCCCCCAACCAACATATTGTTCATAGAAAGTGGCGAATTTTGATCCCTCATGGAGATAAAGCTGATGTTATTGCCCCAGTCAACACATTGTTCGGAGCAAGTGTCCATTTTAATGTGATGATGATAATGGTGTGATGATGTGATGATGTGATGATGTGATGATGATGATGATGATGATGAGGATGAGGATGAGGAGGATGATGAGGAGGATGATGAGGATGGTGAAGATGAAGATGAAGATGAAGGAGGTGATGATGATGATGATGATGATGATGATGCTGATGATGATGATGATGGTAATGATGGTAATGATGGTAATGATGATGAACCTGATGATGATGATGATGATGATGATGATGATGATGATGACGACGACGACAATGACGGTGACGATGACGATGATGATAATGATGATCATGATGATCATGATGATCATGTTGATCATGATGATCATGATCATGAGGATTGCAAGTGTGGAGCAACAGCGGTGCCCCAAATAGTCCCAAGCTATGCAGGAAAAGCTGTGCCACATTTTCAGAACACCTGACTTGTGGGGCCATCGGCCATCAATTCCTCTCAACTTTCAACATCCATTTGTTTCCACTGGTGGGATTTGGGGACATCCAGAATCTGCGCGGTTTGTCTTAGATTAAGAGAAATGCCTCCATGTAAAATAACGTTTTTCACGTTCCACCATCACAGCAGCACAGCAAACAGGTACCAAGTTATCTACCCAACCCAGGCCAACCCAGCCCAAAGACCGACACAGATTCCCAAAGATACCCTCTATAAAACTCCACAAATCAACAAGTCAAGCAGACTGTTTATTGGAATGTTCATCCTGCGAAATAAGTGGATCTGAAACAGATCCAGCAAACATTGAAAACAACATCTAGTCTAATGAATGAAAAACGATACCATATCCAATTTTACCGTTTAAGGTTGGTCGTGATTGAAAACTAGATCCGTTCGAGGTTGATTCTTTAAGCAATATACAGCTGCTGTTGAACTGCTGCATCAAGTTCACATTGTCCCGATATGTCCACACGCTGGGGTCCCCTGGCCGAAATGCATCCAGGACACCTTCCCAAGGCCATGAGAGGACTCATCGGGGGTAGGGGGATAGCCAATTTCATAAAGCACAAGTTGGGGATTATGTTATCATTGTGCATCCTCGCTTGATTGCAAATGACCAGCGTTTGCAACCGCAGCCGCTGATTTGAGTATTTTGAATACAATCCAAATTCTACTGCACAAATAGGTTGATCAACAATAAAGCTGATCGTGGAGAGAAGATTATCGTGGCTTGGAGGACGAAAAACAAATGGATATCCTTCAAAGTTCTGTACCCCTGGTCAAATAGTTACCCTCTGGCAATCACACGTGGCAATGGAAATAAAATTCAATATCAAGTGGGATTCTAGTAGGAAAAGCATTTATAAATGGAAGGTGATCCATTGCCATGTTTAATTACCAGAGGTTAAACTCTACGAATATCTAAGTATGTGGGTTCAAAATGGTACCCCTTTCCAGACCAAACCCATGTGACCAAACCCATGTCCCCTCTAGACTATGGTTGGTTTGATTCCTGTTATATCAAATTGAATCTCAATATTTGCCGGCAAATATATACATATATATATATATTTGCCGGCAAATACACACATATATATATATATACGTATATATATATATTGCCATTGAACATGCCCAGTACATCCCCATTATTGTTGGTGAATCATTATCGTATCCATACATACCCCAAAAGTATTGTCAATTATGATCCCTATATTGCTTGATACCAACAAGTAAATTAACATTAATGTGTAAGAGGAACGGTGAATGTATATGGATCGATGTCGTTGAGATTGCAACATGTGTAATGTCTATGTCAGTTTGCTGAAGAGTATATCACATTATATGTAGATAAATACCCCTACTCTTTGGAAAGTACATACATGAACTAATGCATACACAAGTATATCCATCATTGATATATTACATTATATTACTACATCCCATCATATTCCCATTGGACACAATTAAGATGCTATTCAGATCTATTAAGATGGTTCTATAATGTTCTATATACTGGTTATATTGAAAATAGGGCATCCCTAAATCTATTGGTTAATTATTAGTTTCCCTATCAAAATAATTCACATTCTTTGCGGTATACCATTTTCAGACAGACCAAACACTATAGTTCATTGGTTAAGTCATGTTAAGTCCTTATTTTGGTGCTTGAGGCCATTATTGATCAGCATTTATCATGGTGACATTTTCCCATCTTTTCAGCCTTTCAACCCGAAAGGCCGAAAGGGGCCAGCCATTTTCCTGGCGTCCCAAGCGACACCCGGCCGCGCCTTTCAAGCCTTGAAGTTGGCCCAAGGCTTCGCTCAAATTTCCGGCATGGACCTGAGAAAAGCCCCTGAAATTGCATCATGGTAGTGATATCCCCTGCTTGACAATATAACCATATAATAACCATAAAATAATCATATAATAACCATATAATAACCATATAATAACCATATAAAAACCATATAATAACCATATATTAACCATTATTAACAGTATATTAACCACAATATCAAGATATTCAGCTGGGGTTATAAAGTACCCTCTGGTGAACGTTTACAGAACTATGGAAAGTCGCAAAAAATTTAATGGGTAAATCAACGAACTCAATGGCCATGTTCAATAGCTTTTTGTATGTTTACCAGAGGGTAATCATGGTGTAATTGGCACAATGGTTAAGAGGTTTCCGTTTCGTCATGGGGTTACCCCCAAATTGTCCAGTCATCATGGACGATCATGACTTAGCAACACTTAGTGTTGAAGCCCATGGCGATGAAAAAGGGATCCCCCATTTCAAGACACGTGAACATATTGAACATGAAGATCCCTTTTTAAATTGGGATATTTAGTATTTCATACTGAACATATTTAATATCCCCGATATTGAACATATTGGACACCCTCATATGATGAAGATATTTTTCACATTTTTCCTGACAATACCGGGATGCCAAACATAAACAAAAGTTGTTGGATATGTACCATGGGGATTACACAACTGCCAACTTGGGATTTCATCAACCAAAGCAACTTTTCGGGATGTAAGCAACACAACACCGTGTATAATTGTGGATGTGTTTTTGTCAATCAATTATTCTTCCAAACATTAGTGAATACACGCTGGGGAAACAATCGGGATACAACCAAGAATATGGGAATTACACCTGATAATCATTTGGGGTACCCTCTGGTAAACTAACATAGCTATTGAAAATGGCAATTGATAGTTGGTATACCCATTAAAAATTGTGATTTGTCCATAGTTATGTTAGGTTATGTTAGTTTACCAGAGGGTAGATGGATATCATTATGATGTGCCAACAATAATGTGGATCATATTATGGGATATGTGACCAACTTAGTGGGGATGTAAAGGGACAGAACCAACCACCTTGGCAATTGATTAAGCCGATGAATGGTTGCACTTGCAAATTGATCAATTACTGGTTGGTGGTTTCAACCCCTCTGAAAAATATTAGTCAGTTGGGATGATTATTCCCAATATATGGAAAACAAACATGTTCCAAACCACCAACCAGTGATCAATTAGGTAAGACGGAATATCCGCCAGCCACCACCCATTCATTTGTATTCAAACATACTGTGGATGGAAGAAATCCTGCACCTCTTTGGATGGTAGAAACCTTTGTAAATACTGGGATAAACCACATCCCTCAACTGGTGCAGGAATTCTTCCATCCACAGTACGACTAGCTACAAATGGTGAATTGTGGCAAGCGTGTAGACAAAGTGTTCAACAACTACTGAAATATGGACTGTTCCCGAGGGTGTTTACTCTTGAAGAGGGATTGTATGTCCCATCATTCACTTCAGCCATTCCTTGGGTAACATGTTTTGGCTCTCTTCTGGTGCAAGCCAAGATTGTTGGGTTTATGTTCCTCCTCTTTGGCAATTGTTCACTTTCTTCCATCATGACAATCTTGATCATGACACACACTGTCAAAGTAATACTGATAATACGAGAAAATATGCTATCATCAACTGACAAAAATGTCATTTAATCATCATGTGTAATTCTATAGATATATATACTTTCCACCATCACCATCATCATCATCATCATCGTCATCGTCATCGTCGTCATTGTTGTCATCATCATCATCATCATCATCATCATCATCATCATCCTCATCAGCATCATCAGCAGCAGAACTCTTGAAATTGTAGTAGGTACATAGACATAGATACTTATTTCGTAACCATATGGACCATTTCAGAAAACAACAACATATCAAGAAACCAACAGATTGAGGCTCAGAAACAAACCCATTATTGATATTAATGATCCAGATGTTTCCAAACCAAAGGAAAAGTCAGATATCAACAACAATGATCCATAGTCCCCCGTCCATTCATAATGTCCACATATTTGTTGGTATGGATCATAATGTCCAACAATGATCCATAAAGTCCAATCATAATGTCCATTAAGTCTGATATCCACAACAATGATCCGTAATGATCCATAAAATAATTCATTCATAATGTCCAGATATATCCATGGAAATAATGTTTGATATATATATATATATATGTCTATATCAAATGTGTATATATATATATATTCATATCCATTCATATATTCATGACTCATAATGTCCATATATATATATATACATATCCATTAAAACTGTTTGTTATATCCATATATTGCAATATAGATAGTTTCATTCATATATCAGATATCCATAAAAATCATACATCCATAAAATCCTTATATTAACATACATTCCAGAAATCATAAATAGATTTCTTGCTGTTAATATACAACCAGAATAACATTCCAGAAACTATACCGGTAAACTACCATAACTATGGTAGTTCCACCATTGTTTAATGGGTAAATCAACGAACTAAATGGCCATGATCAATAGCTGTGGTAGTTTACCAGGCCGGGTTTTCGCTTGAGTCCTCGAACCATCTGTTCGCAGTCCTTCACCTTTCGTTCCCAAGAACCCACCTGCGAAGCGATTCCCAAACCTGGGGATACCATGGGAGACCAATGGGAGACCAACATGGTGCTAGTTTTGATCTGTTTTGATCACACAAGATATACAAGGGCCATGGGAACCATGAAACATCCAATTCATCTATCAATTCATCTTTCATGTGGGAACCATCCAACCTTCCAACCTGAGGATACCATGGGATTCCTATGGCAACATGGATCCTCCGGAGACTCCACAGTGCCTCCCTCAGTGCGTTGCAGGCAGTTTCCACTCGTGTCCTGCCGGCCGCGGGAAAATCATTGAACTATGCCTGGGGATTCTTCAGCCATGTTTGATTACACAAAGTACACTAAGTACAGTTATGGCCATTTATTAGTTATAACTGGTTATAAATGGGATTATACATTCTATAAATGGGGTTATAAGTATTACAACTGGTAAAGGGCCATAACTGTACCAATTGATACAAATTGTGAATGTCATCAGAATCAAGTGCAGAATATTCACCAGCAAGGGCAAGGATGGACAGACATGGAAAGGATCTGAGGCGAACATCAGCTGTACCATGTTCACTAATTATGCTCCAGTAGACATGCTTCATGGATTTCAGGTTCAGAAATGACCTACACATGGATTTTCCTTATCAGTTAGAAGTTAGTATACTGCAAAATACAAAGGAAAATTCCCTTCGGTAAGCCAAGCAAGCCATTTGCGACAGCGTTCTTTTTGATGCAGTTGGCCTGTAGACCTTTGCAGTGAAAATGTCCGTCGTCTCGTCCGAAGCGTCGCTGTACCCCTTGGGTCACAGGTCTTGGACCCGTGCCGTGCGCCAACAGTGTGGGATGACACCAGCCAAGTCAATGTAGCACACACCGCCTGGACACCTCTGGCAGTGGCTACGTGAGGCTGTGCCATCTGCCACATTTGTCAACTCCTGGCTTCGAGTCATCCAATGTCGTCCGTCTATTGATTTATCTATCCATCATTTAACAGATATCAACTATAACAGATACAACATATATATATATACATACTGTAATATGAAAATGTATATGGCTGTCACCTGATCCCTGGACAAATCCGAGGCATTTACAAACTAAAAACTGTTTTTTATATTTTTCTAGTATCAATACCCTAAAACACAGTCTGAATATGTTTACTGTAAACCAAGTTCCTTTTCTCACACATGTAATCGCTAGCCGCTGATAGCCCATCCTCCTATACACAAAAAATAACTCCAGGGTTTCAGTCTGCAACAATATGCCTGGAAGCTGAGAATTTGAGAATGTCACGAAGATGTGCCAGATTCCTCCAGATTTCAATGGGCTGAACATCTCCATTTCCTCCAGATTTGTTTCCGTTTTTTGGAAATTCATCTGAAGTTGTTTCATTGCCAGGTGAGAATGACAGAGGTTACCCTCTGGTAAACTAACATAACCATGGAAAATCACCATGCTATTAATGATAAAATCAACTATAAATGTCTAATTTTCAAAAGCTATGTTAAATTACCAGAGGGTACCTTTTCTCTGGGATTGGGCCACCATGCTATTACCCACATTGGCTGATATCCTACCAGTCGATCACTCCCAGGAGCAAAGAATCTCTCACCAGTTTCGACAAAGCCACCGTTTCGCTGATGGTCAAAGGTAGGGTCAAATGCGAAATATATTTCATCATATTTGGTAAACTTATACTATCTGCAGCCAAATGGAGGTTTCCTAAAATGGGGGTCCCCAAAACCATAGGGTTTCAATACTAAAATCGTGAAATTATGTCTAATTTTGGATGATTTGGGGGTTCCCCCATTTTGGGAAACCTCCAGACAGCCCTACAGATGCAATGAGGCTGGCTGAAGTTTTCGTGTAAACACGCCAGATGCAAAACAAGGTCATTCCGGCATTCCAGCGTCAACTTTCCCTAAACACAAAACTCTACCAGGGATTAGTATCAGCCATAGATGTTTCCCCAACATTCCCCAACTATAGCCAATTACGGACGACGTTTCCATTAAAACATCCATATCATCCATCATTTAGCACCGGGTCCATCCAATCCCCCGGTCTTCACCACATCGATCTCTGCCAGACCCTTCAAACCGGAGCGTTTCCGATCGTCCGCATCCTGTTACCGAGCATGAAAAGGACTATGTATAAATTCAAATATGTATATGTCACATATATAAATATATACATACATACATATACACCACATAATATATAATATATATATACACCATATGTGTCATATATTACATCATTCCACTAAATCAATTGAGACTTAACATGTTTCCATCTTTTCAGTGGTTGCGGTATGTTGCTATACCTGTGAAATCTATCAAACCACGATGAAAGCAACCATTTGTTAGGCTTTTGTTTGGGACAAAATCAGTTGTTCCATACTTCGTTTTTTTTTTTAATATTCTTTTTAAGGACTAAATCAATTGAACAAAACACATGATTGCATATAAATGCGTCTACTGCGTATACCATCCATGTCCATCCATGGTGTTTTACATGCTCCATTTATCTATTTATATTCATATGAAGGTAGACATGGCATATATGGAAGATCCGGGTGTAATAATTCTGATAGCAACCACAATTGAGAATAACCCCTAAAAATAATCAACGATAATGGCGTCTCCAACTGCACACATTAGTACAATTGGGAATGTTGCATGTGACAATGAAATCTTGCGAGCACGAAACAGCAAATCGATCCAAACGTTTCACGACAAAATCGGAGGACTAGACTTACTTTTGCAATAGCAAGGCTAAGTTATAGACTAGACAATACCTGTATGTCTTGGCGGAGAAGATTCATCCCCCCCAAAAAAAGGATCCGCATTTTGTTGACTCCAACTGCTTTTTGATTAATATAATTTTATCATGTTTTATCTCATTGTTCTTCCTTAACAATCCCATTCTGGTCTTGTTGGCCACTCAACGTTCTCAATGTTTGGTGTCAATTTAATCCAATCTCCGCTGAACAATTATGGATTCAGTTCATACAGTTATGGCCCGGAATACTAGTTATAAGTACTAAGAACATCTAAGAACTAACCCCATTTATAGAATGTATAATCCCATAGAAATAACATGAAATAACCAGTTATAACCAATAAATGGTCATAACTGTAATCAAGTTGTTTCATGTTTTTTTTTTAGTTTCTCCCATCCTCAGACATTCAGCAGCCCATGAAAAAAGCGACGGCGGTCCCAGCCTTCAAACCTTCCAACACATCGCCTAAACGGCCATAGCCTCTAGTGGCCTGCCGAAGTTCACAAACTGCTGGGTACCCAGCGAGTCTGGTACAGACGAATTCTCGGACAGCACTCTGGCAATAAATGTAGCCATGGAACATTACCCTCTGGTAATTTAACATAGCTATGGAAAATCACAACTTTTAATGGGAAAATCCACTATAAATGGCCATTTTCAATAGCTATGTTAGTTTACCAGAGGGTACCCATGAATAATCTACCCAGCTTTTCATGGTCTTCCATAGCATTCCATAGCTATGACGCACCTCCTGCCGCATGCGTTCCATGTTTTGCCCGGCAGATGTCAACTGAGACACCTTGGAGAAGATGTTTGGACCCTCTGGCAGTTGCGAATGTCTTCAGTCGTGGTTCCAAGAAAAAGCCTGGAATAGATGAAAAATAACGGACAATTGCCCTTTATAATACTGATATATATATATATATATAGATGATAAAAATGAATAACAATGATGATTTGCCGAACTCTAAAATGGTGATTTTCCAGTGTGCTACTCTAAATAACCAGATATAGATCAAAGATCATTTCTAGGAAGGTTTTCAAACTGCCGTAAAGTATGGTGGGTGAAGTATCAGTGACTCGGGTGATGCTGCAAAAGAGTAGGTCAATTCAATTGGATCACAGGCATTTGTAGATTTTGTAGAATTCGGCCATTGATCAAACGTTCCAATTGGAGTGTGGGTGAATTGCGATTATTGACTTGTACCCTGGGAAAAATATGGAATATAGGATTTGGGAAGAGAAGATAATTGGAAGACTCAAAATCACTTCCAACCATTCGCCCATCAATTTGTTATGTAGGAATGATGTCAGTAACCCAGGGAATACCAACATGATCCAAAATACAAATCCGTTTTTAAACAGGGGTCGTGGAGGTAGTTGTGCAGCTATGGTGTTTTCCCATTATTGTTGGACAAACCGCGACCTACATCTACCTAAGCTGGGGAAGTTGCGAATTCCAAATATTTCAAAAATCAGACACAATAAGAAACAATTCCCATGCATCATAAACCCATCTTGATCTGAGATAATTAAAACCCTTTAAATAAATAACTATATATATATTATATATATAACAATATTAAAAAAAAAAAAAAACATCTCCATTTCTAGCTCCGCAACTTCCCAAGTTGCCACTCTTCCAAGCAGGCTGCCCAGGCTTGCGGGCCAGCTGTGTACTTGCCAATTCAATGGACTCGGATGTATCTTGACACAGGAGCTGACCTCATTGGGCATCGTCAGGGCCGTTTCACGGCCCCGAAAAAACGCATGTGGAAATTCAAACTCACAGGATACCCTCTGGTAAACAAACAGTTTGCTATTGAAAATGATCATTTATAGCGGATTTTCCCATGACAAACGATGATTTTCCATAATTATGTTAGTTTACCAGAGGGCCAGAGGGTAACCCTTCATTATATATCCTGGGAAACAACAAACATCTCCTGAAACTGTATTTTAAGGCCACTACCATGGTGAGATTATGCTTGGAAATTGGAACCATCAATCAGAGCATCGGATCTCTGGAAAATTCATGAAAATTGCCCCTTGAATGGACATGGCACGGGAAACGCATTCTTGTCATTTCTTGCAATGCAATGCCGTATTACCAACGGCCAAAAATACCTTGAATGGAGGATAGTTGGTACTGTACCACCCATCTCGTTCAAATCTGGTGATGCGTGTGGTTTTGCGTTTCTATACTAGGGATGGACATTTACAGGTACCCTTTAACAAACCGATAAAATCATGCGAAGGATGACAATGGGAAACCGTCCCTCATAGACCAGAACGTGTTTCAACCCCAATGAATGAGCGGGCTGATCGAGCAATCGAGCAATTCATCCCATTTCCGGGAAAAACGTGGTTTCTGGACTTAGTGGATCAGTGGAAAGCAATCTTTGCAGTAGCCGGTAGCCCCAAAAATATCGAACAGTAAAAAAAAAAAGGAAACAATTAAACATCAAACTAACAGTAAAAAAAACGTTACGAACATCTATCCTAATTTGCCATCCTAGCTATGGAAATCAACATGTTTCAATATGCTTTTTATAGGTAAATTATAACTCAGTACACATTGCCAATCTTAGATACCCTGCAACAAATTAAACTGTTAGCTGGTACCTGTAGACATGAAATCGCAATCCAACCTACCCTCTGCTAAACTTTTACACAACGAACTGGAAAGATCCACCATGCTATTAATGGCTAAATCAACGAACTAAATGGCTATATTCAATTCTGGTAATTTAACATAGCTATTGAAAATGGCCATAGAAATAGCGGATTTACCCATTGAAAATGGTGATTTACCGTAAATCACCATTTTCCCATAGTTTTCCCATTGTTTTCCCATGGTTTACCAGAGGGTCTTCAGGATTTTTCACTACCCGACTACAGCTTGACCTGAATTAATGGGCCATCTGAGCTGAGTTCCACGCAGCTCATACTCAAAGAGGCCCTCAGCGCAGCGCGGGAGAGATACAGATTGCAGATGAAACATGGTGATATGTGTGACCAAAACAGATTGTATATATATATATATAATATATAGATACAATGACTTAGTGTGATTATATGTATATATATATATATACACATAAATGTATTTATATGCACACATCCGTTTTGGATATGCATGTAGATAGTTGTGGATATGCATGTAGATAGTTGTATCTACATATATAATAATAAAACACAAAAACTGTATTTGCAAAGAACATATACCGTAGATATGCAAGTTTATCTACAATCTGGGTAGACAACATGAAACAACAATATAGTCGGTCTCAGTGAGGGTGCAAACTGACACCATCGCAGTGTTTTAGCCGCCCAAACCATCTTGTAGGCACCGCTTTTGGAAACAACAAAATTCCCACTAATTATATGATATTTGTAATTATTAATATTATATCATATTAATATATATATATATATTTATTATCATTATTCTTATTATTATTATATCCACATTATATATCAAGAAATGCAGAACTCCAAAGAATCTCTTGGACTCTTTTCAAAAAAAAAACGTGCTCCCGCGCAAATGCTGATCCAACTTCTCGAAGGGCACGCTGCTCTTCGATAGCCTGAACTACCGACCAACGGACGCGCAGACGCGCACGGCACGTGCCCGGCTGCAGAAAATGCGATGAAATCACCGAGAGATTTCTGGTGAACCAAACAATCTGTGGATTTATAAGGCGCTGGTTTAGTTTTCATCTGGCTATTTAACAGTTCGCCATGGAATATCACATGCTATTAAAAACGGTAAACGATCTATTTCGATTGGGGCCATCTATCCCATGGCGAACTGTTGAATCACAGGAGGGTAGTTTAGTTCAGGCTCAATGTTGGGTTTGTCAAAGTCTATATATATATATATACACACATCACACTGATTCACACCCTCTTAATTGGGGTTAAAAAGAACCACTTGGTAGGGGGGCATCATGTTGTAGGTTGTTAATGTGAGTGGCTGGAATAAACCGTTCTCCCCAGATCATCGCCAATCTTGGACACTTGCATTGTTTTGTTTGCTGGTGAATAAAAACAATCTCTATTAATATATAATTACTTGCTTTCAACCCCTCTGAACAATATTAGTCAGTTGGGATTTTCATTCCCAATTTATGGACAAATAAAACATGTTCCAAACCACCAACCAGATACATATATATATATATTATATATATATATATGTATTTGTATATGTATATGTACATGTATATGTATATGTATATGTGTATGTCTATGTCTATATGTATATGTATATGTACATGTATATGTATATGTATATGTGTATGTCTATGTCTACATGTATATGTATATGTATATGTATATGTATATGTATATGCATATATATGTATATGTATATGTGTATGTCTATGTCTATATGTATATGTATATGTGTATGTGTGTGTCTATGTCTATATGTATATGTATATGTGTATGTGTGTGTCTATGTCTATATGTATATGTATATGTGTATGTCTATGTCTATATGTATATGTATATGTGTATGTCTATGTCTATATGTAAATGTATATGTATATATACACCCGATTTATAGCAAAATAATAAAGTACTAAACTACCCAAGGGTTACCTCGAGATGGGGGTCAAGATACACCCAGCAACATCTAAGACTCAGGAGTTTCATCTAAAGAGGTCCTACCATGATGAAATAGTCATCAGTTCAATCGATAACCCTCTGGTAAACTAACATAACTATGGAAAATCACCATTTTTAATGGGACAACTCACTATAAATGGCCATTTTCAATAGCTATGTTAGTTTACCAGAGGGTACGCAGTAAAATGAGATGCAATAAACATCCAGCAATGAATATTGATACCATTCCGGAATTATCCATCTCCCTAGGTATTACATAGTAATGTAATGTATATTATATTGATACATCTGTCAATATCATTGTATCGCATACAAGCTGAGGCCCCCAATTGTAAGCTGGTTTATAATCCCATTAACTGTATAGATATATCTACCATAAACTATATGGTTAACCAAGTTTCTTTTAGTCAACTTAGTTATCTAAGGGGCCTCACCTTGTGTCGTTTTATCCATCTCTTTAGCTATACTCATATAGCTCGCCCGGTAGCAACAGGTCGATTGGGTGACCTTTCCACCTGGACTGGGACCTTTCCACGACCCGCTGCCTGGGGTATTATCATCCATAGATGAGGATATCACATTGGAATATATTGGATACAATGGGATATAATGGGATATATGTATTATAGATAAATAAACAAATTATTCATATATGATATTTGGGTCCGTCGAAATTGCATGTATCATTTAAATGAATGGGGAACATGGTGATTACAAAAAAAAGAAACAACATGGGATTGGGGGTCACCCCATAGATCTTAAATGAAATTGAAGCTGCCGGGGTCTCGTGAGTCTCTTCACTATTCTGAGCTGCCATGACCCAAGAATACATCATACCCGTGATCTACAGCAATTATCATACAATCTATTTCCACAGTTATGGCCATTTATTAGTTATAACTGGTTATAAATGGGATTATACATTCTATTAATGGGGTTATAAGTACTTATAACTGGTAAAGGGCCATAACTTAGGCCATAACTGCATATTATGTTCGCTGATTGAAATCCATACAAAGCCATTCGTACTTCCTATAGCCATAGGATCCATGGTGCTGCTATATATGGTAACATGGATCCCATCAATATACCCCCAATGTTAGCATATATACCAGCACCATGGATCCTATGGTCTTATAGGATATCATAAATCAACAATTGTATTTTGATCATTTTTCAATGCCTCAAATCTCAACATGTTCCCGGCAAGCCCCCATGGGGCCCTGGCCGATGATTCAGCCATGCCACCGGGTCGAACGCCTCCAGGCTCGATGATTCCCGGTCGCGATCGCCGATAGGCTGAGATGTTGAAGTACGATTCGTGACATCAATAAAACTCATGTGACTCATGTGGATTACCCTCTGGTAAACGTTCACATAACGAACTGGAAAATCACCATTTTCTAGCTGGGTAAATCCACTATTTCTATGGCCATTTTCAATAATTAGCTATGTTTGTTTACCAGAGGCTAATTGTGGATAATTCTGGGAGATTATTTCGGATAATCATCTGGAAATGGTTGATTTGGGGGTGCAATGAGGTTAGTTCAAGACTTCTGGTTGGTGGTTTCAACCCCTCTGAAAAATATGAAAGTCAGATTGGATCATCCTCCCAACTATTGGGGAAAATAAAAGCCATGTTCCAAACCACCAACCAGATATCATCTTAGATCAATCCAATCTTTTGAGGAACCCGACTTCTATGACCCAAGTTCACTGGCTTCGCTGCACTGGGACGAACCCTTGATCCCACAACGGTCACAACGGTTAAACAAAAAAAACATGGGAATAAATGAGGAAATCCGGTGGTATACTTGTAGGAAATAGTCGTTTGATGTTTTGTAAAGTGCTCTATCTCCTTTTCGTGGTGTTTTTTTGTGGTAATATTTAATATCCACAGTAAAAATCCAGATGATACCATCGTGTCTGTGAATCCTCATCCTATATAACCATGGCTTCCAGTTTGCTAAACTGTTAGGAAAATAACCAGATAGAAAATCCCTAAAATCAGCTATAAATCCCTAGTGAATCCCTATTTTTTTGAGGGTGAAACCACCATTTTCCCCAATGAAGTCACAATTTTCCCATGGTTTTC